ATAAGGTGGAATTTCAGTTTGTTAAACCATTGTGGTGACCATTTGGGAACATAAATAAGGAAGCTTTGTCCTTTCGCATTGATCAGATAATGCCTCCACTCTTCTAATGCCGTCATGATGGCTAGGAGTTCTTTATTGTAGATCTCATAGTTGTGTCCTGTCAGATTCAATGCTTTTGAGAGATATGCGATAGGTTTCTATATGACATCCTGTTGTTGTGATAACACCACCCCCATGGCAAAATCACTGCTGTCTGCTTCTACTTTGTACTTCCCATTATTGGCTGGTAAGGCAAGTACTGGGGTGGAACTAACTTGATGTTTGAGTTCTTTGAATGCTTTTTGTTGTCTTGGTCCACAAGTAAACTCTTCTTTTCCAGTCAATCTGGTCAGTGGTTTGGCAATCAACCCAAACTCTTCAATGAAGCATCTATAGAAATTGACAAAGCCTAAGAATGCTTGTACTTCCTTCTTTGACTTGCATTCTGGCCAGTCTAGAATCCCTTTTATTTTAATTGGGTCCATGCAGATTTCATTTTGTGATATGATTAGACCAAGGTATTTTAACAAGGTTTTTTCAAAATCACATTTTTCCAAGTATAAGTGATTCTTTCGTAATGTATCAAGTACTCTGCACATCATTGCCCAATGTTCCTCAATCACTGTTGTGAAGATCATGATGTCATCAAGGTATATTATGACCTTTCCTTCATCAATCAGATCTTTAAATAGTGCATTCATCATTATTTGAAAAGTTGCCAGTGAATTTGTGAGACCAAAGAACATTACTAGTGGTTCATACAACCCCCTATTCATTCTGAAGGCTGTTTTCTCTTCATCTCCTTCTACAATTTGAATGTTATTATACCCCCATTGTATATCCAGCTTTGTGAAGTATTTGGCTTCCATGTAGTTTGTTTACCAGTTCATTTATCAATGTCAGTGGATATTGGTTTTTGATGATGATATCATTCAATTTTCTGTAGTCTTCTACCGGTCTGAGCTTTCCATTTTTCTTTTTGATGAAGAAGAATGGTGAGGCAAATGGTGATTTGGATAGGTGTATTCTTCCCAATTCCAAAATTTCTTTGATGAATGCGTCTAATTGTTCCTGCTCTCCTAATGCTAAGGGATATACTTTGCAGTCTAATTTGTGTTCCCATGGGATCAGTTCTATGGCATGATCCCATTCTCGTCTTTCTGGGAGTGCATTGAAATTCTCTTTGTTGAATATGTCTTTGTAATTGGGGAGATATTTTGGAACTATCTTGTCGAAACCTCCTTCCTTTTAATCTTTCCCAGCAGCCTCGGCAAGTTGTTGTGCAGTTGTGCCTGTGGCTCTTATCTGGTAGAGATGTTCTGGAATCTCAGTCTCTTCATAGTTCAGTAAATCTACTTGGATTAGCTGATCCCCTTCTGACAAGTCTACTTCTTCAGAGCATGTTTCCGGGTCTTCCTCTGGATCAGAGAATTAGACCTTTTGTTTGCATTCTTCCGGACATCTTTCAAACTCTGGATCTGACTCTTTCCGGTTAATGTTTGGATTGTGTTTTTGTAACCATTTGTGTCCTAAGAACATTTGTCCACTGCCAAGATTTGTGACAGCAAAGTGAATTCTTTCAGAATGATCACCTATTTCCATTTTAAGTTCTACAAACTCTTTGATGGCTCTATTTTTGTTCAGAGTTCCATCAGCATTGTAAACTGGTATTATACTTGGGATTTTATGTGTTTGATACTCCTGCTTCTTTACAAGTTTGGAGTCTATGCAGCTTCCTGTACATCTGCTATCTAATAGTGCTTGGATTGTTGTTGATCTTTGCGTGTCTAAGGTGGTTAACTTGCAGGTAATGTTCATTTGATCTCCCTGCATTCCTCGGATGTACTTTTTTGGAGTATGAAGCTCTAAGTGTTACGATAACACAATTTTTGGACCTTTCCTTCATTTTCATTCTCCACTTTAACCTTGTATACTTTAGCTTTCACACATGGTGCCACGCGGCACTTCCCCTTTTGTTCAAACTCCTCTTTCTCGCGCCGTGTTGCCTTTTTCTTATTTTAGATACAACTCTCTCACACAGTGGAGCTGGTCATGCGGGCTAGGCCCCATGACATCATCAGCCACTAACTTTATCAACTGTACAGTACATAAGTACAAACACTCTGTATTAGTATATATACCCCAATAGATCCAGGAGACTCCTCAGCGAGTCCTCCTGTTGTATATCAACAAACTCTCTGCAGCTTAAAGGGTAACCACTCCCTCATCGCTACCTTTATAGTGTGTTCTTCTGTGCGCTGTCGATGATGAGAACTGCAGTTAGAAAACCACACACAAAACAAACTAACACACAATCCTCCCAGATTCCACGGAACTTGTTTATGGGCTTTGCCTCCTAGAACAGTGGAGTGGTCTGGTTGTTTGTGGGGTGGTACGTATAAAGATCCTTCAAAGTAAAACCCAGATGTGTATGAGTGTGGGTTTTGAGGAGGAGGGATAGTTGAATTTATAGAAAGATAGGGGTTTTGTGGCGAGTATAGATGAGCACTACCTTGCTAATCATAGCACAAGGTAGGTTTGAGAACGACAATATGACGAGGTTCCCAGTGATAGCAGGCTCCTGACGCACAGACTGTAGTGCTCAGAAGGACCCTAATCGAAGGGGATGACAATCACTTTCAAAAGTGGGAAGTGACGATGACAGCAGTTGACAGTGGTAGCAGTGGGAAGTGTTGTGACCACACTGGATCACAAGCAGCAGAGTAGTGAACTTGAAATTAGAGAAGAAGTCTGGAATGGAGTTCTTGTTGTTTTTACAAGGTAAAATACAGGGGTTTATATAGTAAAAGAAAAGTAGGCTATGCACAGTATAGCTGTGCAAAAAGAATGAGAAAGAATATGAAGGAAGGAATGTACGCTGACGAATCCTGCGTAGGTAGTACAGGATAAGATTGTCAAAAAAAGGAAAAAGAAAGGGATAGAACAATAAATGCTGTGAGTAATGTCACAGGTTTGTACAGCCATAAAGTAAAGTCCAATAGCAAAAAGAAAGCAGGAAAATCATGATGTCATGGGAAGATGCAGTAAAAAAAAGGCAAGGCAAAACACTATCAGTATCAACACAGTTCCTTTATTGTACTGAAGAAAAAGAAACTGGAGCCACCGGTCCACCACCTAGTCCAAATCCGACAGTTCCATGATCTTACCAATGGACTGGTTGTGTTGGACCGCCTGATCAAATGAGGGAGGGAGAGGAGTAGTTCCAATTTGGAACAAGTGAGTCCCAGGCAGCGTGTGGTAGGTGTAGCTGTAGCGAAGACGATGGACAAAAGATAAGTGTACCCAAGTGAATGGGACAGCAATGAACATGGGCAACGCAAGGGGATGAACCTTCTCCAGCTCAAAAACTACCCACCCACGCTCCAACCAGGCAAGACGAGCGACCAATGTTTTGATAGTATATGATGGCAGATCGACGTCATGAAGATGGACCTGTTGCCCTATTTGAACCGGCCGCCGGGGCTTTGCTGATATCAGCAGTGGCACGTGGTAGTCGACTGATCGGCGACGGAAGCGGATAGGAAGTGGTGACATCAGAAATGGTGGGGGTGCAAATAAGATGAGGAGGAGGAGGGTGGAGGTGATGAAAAAGTGGATTAGAATGGGAATCCAGAAACAACCGTCAGGTGAGAATAAAAAGGAGAGGAAGGGGCCCATGGTGGGGCTAGGCAAAGGAAGGGGAGTAAGGGAAACGACAAAAGCGAGGGCACAATGCAATGTGTAGCCAGTGGCGACGCAAAAATTTGCCGAAATGCCGAAACGCGGAAAGTACTGAATGGAAAAGCAAAGGTGAGCGTGACTGGATTGCCTAATAGAGGTGATGCTGATCAGCCACAAGTTCAAAAGGGGCAATATTAATTACTATTCCACGTGGCACTGTGCCTGTGTGGCGCAAAGGCGAGTCTTTTTGAATATTCGCTTCGTTATTGACACCTGTCCATGCTACCAATCAACTTTGGTGCATGACACCGGATAAGAAACAACTATTGATCCATTTGCTTTTATGTGCCACAAGTTCAAGACAGGATGAGGCCATTCTTTCACGTCACGTCATTGTCATAGGTTTCCCTGTAACCCAACATGTATTAATATATGGTTTTGGTACATGAATATTAATATTGGCAGGATACGTGATTTGTACAGGCAGAGCATAAACACGAGAGCAACTAATGAGGAAGGTGGGAGACCAAGGTCAAAAAGGAAGCGTGGATTGATGAGCTGAGTCATGTGTAGCTCACACTAAGCCACTCGGATTTAGGATACCGACAGTCTATCATGACAATAGTCTGATTACAAAATCAACAGACGTGTAGATGTCAAGACATAACCCAAACACAATAGGAGACAACATTACCTTGCCTCCAGCTCATGGAGGCAAACGTCATAACAAAAAGAAAAAATAAAGAAAAAAGAAAAAAAAGACATTATCAATATCCACCCCACACCAACCCCAACCCCTATTCAGCCCATTCTTTTTGTCCAGCCCCATGACATGTCAACTGACACGCATGATCAAGCAGAACAAAGGGAACAAAAACAGAACAAATAGAACCCCCCAACCGATTCCCCCGACGACGCAAGCCATAAAGTGCAGCAGCAAAGGTCAGCGCGCCCTCCGTGTGGCAAGCAGAGCACAAAGGACCAAGGGCGGCAAAAATGAGATAACCCAATGAAGGGAAGGCGGTGCCCTCCATAATGGAGGTTAAACTATTAAGAACAGATACTACACTTGATCTAAGCCAAAAGGCCAGAGTGGTGGGGATGCGAGTTGGGAGCGCGCGGATTTATATACAGAGGGGGTGTGCCCGGGCCATAGGGTGGATGAGGTAAGCGGTCGCTTATCGGATGCGGCAAGTCCCTCGATCACTCGTATGGATTGGTCCTGCCAACAAATCATACAGCACTCGTGAGAAGCAGCAAACCAAAAAAAAAAAAAAAAAAAAAAAAAAAGTCAAATTATTGTAGCACAAACCAAACAACATAAAATGGAGCTATGAGAACACACATACAACAAACACATCTCTATACATATGTAGATTCCTTTTGGCAGCGATATATCATCCCGTCCACAAATCCGCAACCACAGACACAGAAATAGACTAGTCACATCAGTACAAACATCAAACAGCCCTAGCGTCGTCACACATGCTTCGCTTTGAGATCCACAGCCGCGAGCTTGTCCGCAACTTCCCCAGCTCCTCCAGGCGGCGTCAATGGCTGGCCCTCCGTACGAGGATGCGGGTTCACCAGCTTTTCCTCGCTGTCGCCCTCGGCTGAAACATCGTTGATTCGCTGCAAACCTTCCTTCTCCGCGTGATCGTGGCCGTTCTCGCCGTGGTGCTCGTTGTGGTGGTGGATCACGTGTGTGTGCTCCATGACCTCCTTCTCCGACTCTTGCTTGTAGTTGTACACGTCCTCGCCGAGCTTCTGAGCTTCGGGTGAGAGGTGGTGTCTCAGCGTCGACATGCGCTTCATCGCCATCATACCCAAAACGGCTTTGCGGACTAGGTTGGCAGACATCAGTGACGATAAATCACAGTGTGTGAGCAAGATACACGTACACGTCCTCCTTGCGTCGAATGCCCGTCTGAACTGAGGCAACAAATCTCTTGGGCCTCCACTCTCGCTCTCCACAAAGTGTGGGCTATCGGCGGTGAGCCATGGGTGAGCGAGGCAATCGGCGGCAGTGGGCCGTGACATGGGGTCAATGGTCAGACATTCGGAGATAAAAGCACGTGCGGTAGGAGATACGTTGCTCCAGTATTCCTCTGCGATGGCAGTGGTACGGTTAGTGTCGTAACATCGTAATCTTTGCACAATTGCTGAAAGGAAGGAGATACGCACCGGGTTCAAACCTGTAGTCACCAGCGATGATGGCCTCCATCTCTTGGCGCTGGCTGTCGCGATCGAATGGGGTATAACCTACAGATCACAATTGAAGTTTGGACACACGTGCTATAATTGTAAGCATGTATGACAATGAGCAACGCACCAGCTAGAAGGAAGTATGTGATAACACCCATAGCCCAGATGTCCACTGGTTTGCTGTGGCCGGCTTTGGAGATACAATTCTAAGTAAACGACGTGAATACCATGCAATGAAGGACATACTCTTTTTGAAGATTTCGGGTGCCATGTACTGAAGGTAAAAAGTCAGCAACGACATCACTCAATTTCCCCTGGGGGGAAAGTGAGGAGGAGGTGGACGCCGACTCACGCCAGGTGTCCCACAGATTTCAGTCAACTGGTGAAGTTTGTTTTCTTCCATAACACGACTGAGACCAAAGTCCGCGATCATGATGTCCTCCACGTTGTCACCCTTGTTGCGGAAGAGCAAGTTTTCGGGTTTCAAGTCTAGGAACAAAGATAGGGGGATGATGGGTAAGGTGAAACAGGATATCAAAGAGAATCACCTCTGTGCACGATGCCACAGTCATGGATATACTGGACAGCGCCAAAGATGGTTCGAACGAGGCCAGCAGCATCACTGGAGAAAAGTGAGTGAATGCGAGTTGGATAAGCGAGTTAGATAAGCGCGGGAAAAGAAGAAATGAGCGATTATCGATGTATGATTAGGGACTAAAATAGATAAGAAGAGAGACAACAACAAGGGGACTAACGCTTCTGTGTATTGGCCGCGTGCACATATACTGTCGAAAAGCTCACCACCTGTGCATAGGTCGAAACAGAGGTAGAGGTTATGTGAAGTCTGGTGGGAGGGATGAAAAAGATGGCAGTCGAGATGGAAATGTGGCGGAATGAGGGAGGCGAGGAGTTACGGCATGATCGTCGAAGATATGGAAAGGGCGATTGTGAGAGGGGAAGGGATGAGATGGTGAGATGCATACCTCAAAATAGTCGTGAAGGGTGACGATATTGGCATGACCGCTGGATATCCTCTTGAGTACAGCGATCTCGTTGCGGACCTGGAGATGGGGGTGAGTTAGAGCCGTGGATGGCGATGAGGGGGGGGATACAGACCATGTGTTCCCTTCCTTCCATGAGTTTCTTGTTAATGACCTTGCAAGCGTAGTATTGGCTGGTCTTGATGTGGATGGCCTCTTTGACGATGGCATAGGTGCCGCTGCCGAGGGTGCGTCCGGTGCGGTACTGTGCGGTGAGATGAGGGGGAGGGTGTGAGGGGTGGGAGGGGCGGACGTACCTGGCATGGGACGGTGGTTGGCTGGGAGACCATGATGGTGGATGGGTCGAGCAAGTGTACTGTGCCCTGTGTAAAAGGGCACTACAGTTGGAGGGTAGACGGCCAGAAATAGAAATAGAGGCCTACTATACTCTCGTTCGGGGCCTTGTCCGGGGCCTGTTCCCGGCCGACAGGACCCGACTGGGGTGGGTCAGCCACTGGGACCGACTCGTCGGTGGCCTCGTCGGGCGGTGTGGCCGGTGCGGTCGTCCTCAGCGCCGCCTGCTTGCTCGAGGAGGGAGAGAGCGGGACGGAGCGGGCCGAGTCGCGTCTCTTGCGTGTTGCCCTGTCCTTGAGGTGGTGGCTGACATTGGAGCCCATCGGTGAGTGAGGAATGTGAGAGCAAGGGCTCTCTTTATACTATATATCCCTCTCCCCCTCCCTGCCTCGCTTCCCCTGCGTGCCGGCTCTGCACTGCCAGTCGGATACCACCCCGCTGCGCTCGTACTTCTTTGATGAAAGCGTGCTTGATAACCCTCCTGGTCGTGTCCACAGGCCTCAACGCGTGTTCATCGACCTCGTGCACCATCAGCCACAGCGCCTTCTCGATTTCCCTCTCTACTCATCGCATTCATATCTCCTTCGCACGGTCATAGGCGTACTCCGCCGTGCGCTGCTCTTTCCTGTGGCGAGTGGCGTCCACCGAGCGCTCAGCTCCGGCACATATGCTATCGTCCGGCAACGCAACCATCTCATTTTCAGGCCGACCAGAATCAATCAATCACTCCCCCATCTGTCTCAACGCAATCGTCACTTCAAACTACCAAGAAAGTGTACACATGCGAGTCATCACCAACGTATATAATAAATGAGTATGTATATCAAAAGTCATAGTGATCTCAACCAGACGTGCATTGTATCGTAAAAAGTTCAGTCGAGTTGATGTCATGACGTGATTGATTCTGAGCAAATTAACAGAGACATGGTCTGAACATCAAAGGTGTTCGTTGCGAGCATTAGTGGATAGGGTGGGATGAGATGGAGAGAGGGAGGGAACTTGAACTTGAACTTTGCCACGATGGGAACGTAGAATGCATTGTCGTAAGTAAAGAAGGAAGGATGGAATGCAAATGCAAAAGAAACGAAAACCAAGAAACGTTTGGCCATGAGAATCGCATGTGAAAACCCCAGGTACGCGCGACGCATGCAGGCGCGTCGTATATGAACAAGAACACAGGAAAGGATGGCGATAGCGCCGGGAGACGTCAAGGGTGCAGCAAGAACAAGAACGGGGGATGCAAAGTCGAGAGTGATGCACTATTTAAAAGGAGGTAACAAGTAAGATGGATCGGGCTTTTGGGAGTGGATGAGCGTGAACGTAAGAGGGTGTGACGATGCCAAGATGATGAAAATGCGAGCGGGGAGGGATGGGGAGGCGAGCTACCGGATCTGCGCACGCGCGCTTGCTTGCTGGGGAAGCAAGTTGGCGAGAGGGGTGTCTGCACGTTATCGGATAAGACTTGCTCAGCAGCGAGCGCAGATAGGGGTGAGACGAACGTGCTCACCTCTCATCCCTTCGGAACGACCCACGAGCTTGCGAAAGTGGATGCTGAAGATGCAATTTTTGGAGTGGAACGACGAAAGCAAAACAAAAGCAAGGGGGCAAAAAGCAGATACAGCAAAGCAAAAGAAAAGGGGCGGAAAGAAAGAAAAAGAAACAAGAGCACCAAATGAGAAAAGCGCTTTGAAAATCACGCTTATCAAAGAAGCACCAGAACGAGGTATGCACGATGAATTTCAGAATTAACCACCCCTGCCACTCTCCAAACAAAAAGAAGTCAAATACTAAATCAAGCGAAACACCACATCCTCAAACTTCAAAATCTCAAAACGCTTTTCACCACACAGCACACGATATCACCAACCCCCCCGTCCCTCCTCTGCTCTTCCAAGCCCAAGCCCAACCTCAAGCCCAAGCGAATACTCCTCCCCGTCGCGTGCAAAAACGACAGACGGCGCCTCGGCGCTCTTAAGCGCGCACAACGGCGGTGCATCCATCCCCTTTCGCGAACACAGCGGCACAGGGATAGGGGTAGACGGGAAGGGAAAAGGTATTGCCTGGCCAGGCGGTGAACGGGATCGTGGACGTGGAGTAAGGGGCTGGAATAGCAACGAGGACGCATCTAACGCGCCGTTTCGCAATCCGTCCCCCCTCACCCCCGCGTACGACGGGAGAACGTCTCCGGAGCCCGAGTTGGCAGGTGTGGGCGCACGCGAAGGCGGTGGAGGCGGGACGACGAGCGTGAGCGACTCGCCGTGGGCTGGAGTGAACACGGGGGGAGGAGATGAATACCGCGACGCAGAGAAGAAAGAACTAGGAGGTGGGCGGGCTGGCCGAGCCGAGCGCTCGTACGGGGGTGAAGCCGGCGAGTAGGCAGGGGGGAGCGAGCTAGGAGGGGTGCGTGGTGCAGGAGGAGGCGAAGACGATGGCGGAGAAGATGGCGGAGGCGAAGAACACGACGGAGGTGACGATGGCGGTGAGGATTGTGCAAGAGGGGAAGCGTAATTTGGCGTTGGCGAGTGAAGATACATACTCCTGGTCCGTGGGCGCTTCGTCCTCGCCATCGGATGGCCACCCAGCTGTCCGTCGCTCTCTCCGTTATCCTGCCCAAAACCACGGTCTCGTGCTAGATTACCCATGCGGGCGCACTCATCCGCATAGGAGTAAAAAAAAGGATCGTCTAGCTCATCGTCTCCCACAGACTCTGGGAACTGCATCTGCGAGCGAAAGGCATGTCGATCCTTGTGATAACCAAAGAAATGTTCGTCATCATACGCGCACTCATCCTCTTCACTGACAGGGAAGAGTTGATGGCTTTCCTTGTTCACCCCACCAGCCAACTTTGACGTCGTCGTCGTCACCCCACCATACCTACCATTCTGCCGCTGCCCGTTCAACACTGCGCCCTCCTTAGAAAACCCACCCGCTCTTGCAAAACCATCAAAGACCGTGGCACCTCGCTCACTACGTGGAAACTTCTCATCAATTCCGAACGCGCCTCGTTCGCTGTTCCATCCGGTTGTGGGGGATGGCACGGTAAGCAAAGCAACGTCCTCTGCGTTCCAGCAAAAGTTCCGCAAAGGTGAGCTATTCAAGGGCACACTCAGCTCAAGACCAATAGGCACTATCGGTCCTGGTTTAAGCGTCCCCGTAGTCGTGCCATCCCATACCGATGCTCCATTCACTCCAGTGTTAACAGGCGCATTTCCACGCAATCTTTTACCAGTGGCGATACGGATACCAGCACTCCACGCCCTACGACGAGCACGTCCCTCGAGTAGTTCGAGCATGGCATCTTGTTCAGCCTGTTCATTTGCCTGCGCGGCATTGAGCTGGGATAACATGTGACGGCATCGTCCAAGCCTCGATGTCAGCTCATTATAAGGCTGAATAAGATGTTCAGGCAGCTCGAACCGCGACAGTGGCGGCGGCGTGCTGGGCGGCGGCTTGGGATAAGTCCCTCCAACACGGCGAGGCGCCGACATGCGGAACGAGCTCGGAGAAGTTTTCGACTGCGGGATAGGAAGCGGCAGAGACCCAGTGTCGCACTCGTTGGGAGTATGCACAGACGACCCATCCGTATCTGTGGACGTCGTATCCTCGTCCTCAGGCCCTGCACTCGAGTCTTCAAGAATAAACCCCGTATTCGCGAAGTTGTCCGCGTCAAACTGGAGCTCGGACGGATTGGAACGTATGCTCGCATCCCACGGGTGTTCACCTCCTTCCTCGTCGTCGTCGTCATCGAAGAACGGGTCCTCGTCGATCAACGAACCCCCTGGAAAGGGAGACGGTGCACGGTAGGCCCTGCGATTCCTTCCTCTGCCCATCATAGCGCCACCTATCCTTCCTCGGGTCAAACCCCTCTCCTCATCGTCTCTTTCACCGAAATCCAGTGCCTTTCTGCCATCGCCATTTTGAGCCTCCTCGGCTCTGTAGTCCTCGGCTTCGTCCATGAGCTCATTGATCTCGATTCGGAGGTCGCGAATGAGACTTCGAAGAGCCCACTCTCCGTATCCTCCCTTGGGTGCACGAAAGGATAGGAATGTGAGTATATGACGACGCCAGGTATCCACAAGAGTTGACCGGGCGCGTCGACGCAAATTACGAGAGCTAAGGGTCGGACTGGGGGGCGGTGAGCCTGGAGGCGGCGGAGGTGTCGGAGGAGGAGAGGGTGGTGGTGGTGGTGGTGGAGTCGAAAGCCGCGGTATGGAAGGAACCAAAGACCTGTTGTCTGTATCAGCACAAAAAATGACGCGACTTTAACAATGTACACACGCTATAAGCGAAAGGAGCAGGGAACGCTGTTTCTTATGCTTTGCGCGTTTTGTAGGCGTAGCTGGGCAGCTGGATGGTTCCTTTACAGCGTCCGATTTCTGGCCTTCGTTGTCTGCATTGTCTGGATCGTTTGCGCTGGAGCAACGAACGTCTTCCATGACACTTTCGAGCATGGTAATGCACCCCTTGTCGTGCATAGGCCATTCGAGAAGCTGTCCGTCGGTGAACGTGGCAGAGAGCGTGAGGGTGTCCATGTCCATAACGATCTCGTGCATCAAGGCAACGAGCCATGCCGACTTGTCGAGAACGTGAATGTTGCGGGGAGACTTTGCTTGGAGGGGGGAGGTGGAGACGTGGAGACCAGAGGACCAGGCTGGGGGAATAGGAAGGTTTGTGGGGAGAGTGGAGGCAAAGGAAAGAGTGAAGAGAATGGAGCCAGTGGCCTGGGATGCAGGCGGAAGGAGTTTGATCAACATGCGTAGAAAGAAAGGAAGAAAGTTGTATCTATTGCTCTAATGTGTTTAGAGAAAAGAAAGAAGACAAAGGTGGGGATTGCTGGGAATGTGGTGGACGTGGTCGAGGAGACAGTCGACAACGCATCCGCCGCTTTCAAGAAATTATTCAAAACACAAGCGCCATTTTAGTAGTCTTTACGTTACCCTTGACGTGAACTCTGGTAACCGAACCTATGCGAAAGACGGCGGATAGGTTACCCACCTTGGCTTAGGGGATTGCTTTATTCAGTGTCCTCAGGCGCAATGAGCCATCGAATAACGCATATCGTACATTTCACACAAAGGAACAGGAACCGTGGCGAATGCGGACCCGTGCTCAGCACTCCTCGCCCATCATTCATCTGCAGATGCTGGAGCATGTATCCATAAAAGTACAAGGACGTAGTTGGTGCGCATGCATTACCTACAGTATTTATCACATGTTTATTCAACTCGCAAATGCGAGCATACGGGGACGCAATAGCCATGGTCTAAACCGGAACTGCATGCTGGAAAACAGCAAGACAGTAACGCAATGCGTGTTCGGACACTGTGGGATACAGTGCCTAAAGTCAGGACGTCGTAGTCCACGGACGTGTGATGCAAACCACCCCGCTGCCCTTGAAATTGCAAGATGTCAATAAACCGAGGGGTACGTTCCGATAGTTGTACACAGAGCGGTGAGAACGAAGCGACGGAGATACGGTGCAGCAGAACACTGGGAATTGGTCGTTGGGATCGTGAGATAGTCGTTTGCACGGTCCCCCTAGCTGGAGAAACATGGCTCCTTTTCAAAAAGGAGCCCAAGAACATTATGAGGGGTGCGAAAAGCCTTCTGGAGGTTGCGACTTATGCCATGTCACCTATCGACAAGGTGTCGTCAGAAAGCTTGGATGTATACCTATTAGAGCATCACAGACCAGTCAAAATGTCTTTAACCCAAACAACAGCCCATACATTATATGATCACGTACGTGCTGTAGTCCCAATCATCACCGCAGGACTGCCGAGGGGTGCCATCTAATGCGAGTTACAACCGGGATGGATTCGTCGATTTCTTGCAAGGTGCGACTGGTCACCTGACGAAACACTTGACAGCGATTTTCCTGTGGTGAGTTATACAGATGGGAGAAGTGTACGCCAGGTGATTTTTCTCATGGTTTTAGGGTCAGTAACATCGAGTTGTGGCCATTTTTGAAAAGGTATCATTTTGCCAAGTCACGTTGAGGGTTTGGCGGTAAGCTCGGTGGTATCAGGACTAGGAAAGTCAGGGCCCATGTTGACCGTGATACGCTACTGAAATGCGTCGGTCAGCCTGTTTCACTGTGAGGTTTGCGGTCAGGTCAAAGGGCTGCCGGGAACTTCCATCATTAAAGTGGCTGTGTAAAAAGTGCTCAGCTTCCGACCCACTCAGTTCGATGTTTTTTGCACTGCTAAATTGCTATAAGCTTAGATACCTTATGCGACAAAAAATCGTTGTCAAGTTATCCGCGTAGCTTTTCGTTATCTGGCTTGAAAGAGTTATTAACCCTATGTCGAATTTACAGCATCACAAGAAAGTCGACTCCTCGTGAAACAGACGCTAACCTACCAATGTGATGGCGGCCTTCAAGTGGGGCTCGAGGCTTTTGTCGATCTCGCTTCCTCACCGTTCATGGCTGTCTCTTTGGAGATCGGAAAAATGAATCAGAGCACATTCTCGCAAAATGCAGTGTCTTTCGTCCCAGAAATCAGTCAAGGTCGCGTGGAAACCTTGGCAAAATCCCCCTTCCACCGGTCCCGACAATCGAGGCAATCCGTTTCATGTGCAGAGTACCACAGTCGCGGAGCTATTAACTCTATCAAAATTCTCCGTAGCTGTTGGGTTTGACATAACATCGGGAGATTCTCTCCACAGACGATCCACACAGCATGTTTTAGCCAAGATATAAGCTGGCTTATTACTATCATCGCTGTTCAGTGGGTCCGCCATTGTTGTTATCCAGCTTAATCTCGTCTCTCGCTTTTCTTTTCCTTTAAATTCGCCTCTGGTAGTGCAGACCTACTTTAACCACCCACTCACGTCCCCATTTAACGATCTCCTTCTTCGTTTAATAACCTATTCACGATGGCCGCCACTAATTTCACGACGACTGCTTCGGATATTATCTCAAGTATGTGTTATGGATTCTGCTCTCTATCGTAGGAAGCTGACTTGAAGCATTGATTTCTAGGCCACCTACTAGCGAGGGGAGACAGGAGTCTCGGCCCATATGACTACGTGCCCACGAAAAGTGTAGGCATAACATTTGTAACCCTCTTTGCAATCAGTACTGGTAAGGACATGCAATCCTCCCTCCATGTACTCCGTTGACCCGATGCCATCCCTTAGTTGCACACTTCGTTCAGAGTATACGATTCCGTACATGGTGGATGCTACCTACCGCTGTTCTTTGTGGTATCGCCGAGCTAGTGGGATGGTCTGCAAGACTTTATTCTAGCGGCGCACCCCACGCCGTCGTCCCTTTTGAGATACAGTGCGTGCTCAACTTCGTATTCACCGAAAAACGTTTTAATTTCCCTCCCATGTAGAATTTCTTCTACTATTACTGGACCCACGCCACTCATTGCTGCCAACTTTATCATGCTCGGACGTATCATCAGGGCGCTAGGAACGCGCTATAGCCGCCTTCCTCCTAAGCTCTGTAAAATTCCTTGTCACACATACTCCTCTCAGGTTATTGATTTCCCCCCGATACAGATACAATAGTCTTTCTCTCATGTGTTAGTTATTCTCCCTTTCCCTTTCTCGCACTGTATTGACCCCTAACCGTGCAGGATGCTGTCTCACTCACAATCCAAGGTGTTGGAGGAGGTATCGCTGCAAGTGCCTCTGGTAACGGTCAAAACGCAAACACAGTACGTATCATTTATTCAACCCGACTAGGATACTTTTTAACCGGCTTATAGGGTGGTAACATCATGTTGGTTGGTATCGTCATTCAAATGAGTAAGCTCCCTCTCCATAATCGGACAACTTGACGCCTTGTCTGATCATTGCTTCCATCAGTTGCAATCTCCATCTTCGTGCTCTGCGCTTCCGAGTTTCTTATTCGTTATGCCAACGACAAGCCGCTGCGGGCTCCAGCTGACGAAGAAGAGAAAGTGTCTTCGCTCTCAAACGGCATGAACCCCCGGATGAAGCTTTTGATTTACGCCATAGCGTTTAACACGACATGTTTGTTTATCCGGTACGTACCTCCCGCCCCCCGTACCCAATCCATACCCCCATACCGTTCGTCTAATCATTTCGCTTGCGCACTAGTGCCGTGTACCGCACCATCGAGCTTACAGACGGATGGAATGGGAGAATCATCAGCACCCAAGTGTACTTCAGTGCGTATCGGGCCCGAATCTAGATGAGGATATCATTGATTTTGCTGATCTGCGATCTGATTCCGTTTACACAGATGTCCTTGACGCAGGCATGGTTACGCTCGCCATCTTCACCCTCAACTTCTTCCACCCTGGCTACCTCCTCGTGACTCCTCCTAAAACGCTTTATGGACACATCGCTGGTTCAGAGTCGTCTCAGTTTTAGTATGTAGTGGTCGCATGTGTTGTCTGTGACAGCATGCAAGTTTAGCTGCCATCCTGTTCTTTCTTTCGCTATACTATATACTTTAATATATTTATCGGCTCGATCAGCTATTTACAGTAGGTTAGCATTTTCTGTAATGTAGAGATGTCTGCCACACCAGGAAAAATAAGAAAGTACATACTCGCGTACTTACTAGTACTTGCCCTTTTGGAAGCGAGCGACTCTTGCTGAGCTTCAAAATTTCTGGCGTTTGACCGGCATGACCATGCTCTTATCACTTTCATAGTCTGTTGTACACAGAACTTTTATAGCACATTCTATATGGCGCTCGAGTTCAACTACAACAACTGCCGAGACTGTTTGAGTCGCAGACAATACACTGACTCCACTGATAGCAAATTGGAAAGAAATCATTCCGTCGTCTACAAAAACCTCGAGGGCGACAACTTTTTCAAGTTCCCAGAACGTATTTTCCCGTCCATAACCAGTTCAGCCATTACTTTAGCCGTTCCTGGGGCATTGCATATACCCTGCATCCAATGTCAAGCACTCAGGTTTCACGACAGACAGAGGTAAAAGGCGGACTTACCCAACATGTATGTCCAGTAGCAATGTACAGACCTCTTGCTATCTTCTCTGCCTCGCCGATCACGGGCCCTCCTCCGATACTGACAACAGGCAAAAAGCAGGCCTGCCGCTTCTCTACCGTGCCCTCCCGTAATTCCTGGGATATGCTAGCCACATGCTCTCGGATGCTCTCGCAAGCTTTCTGGTCGACTTCAACGTTATCTACATTGTCAGGGAGTCTCGAGTCGTCTCCTGGACCACAGGCATATACTTCATTATCCGGTCGGGCATAGATTTCTGGCGTAACGATGCGTCCTCGCTTGGACGACTTGGTTGGAGGGAGCTGAATTTCTGTGAAAAGAACGTATGGTGAGATCGTGACTGTGGGCTTTGGACAGATTGTGACACTGTGGGCTTCGCGTAGCAGAGATTGGAAGAGACGGGACAAGTGAAGGTGACCATGCCCCTGCAGAGAGGATAACATGGGTAGCTGGAATTATCTTCTGTTCACTGCCATCGTTGGGTACTCTATAACTAACGCCAGTAACTCTACCGTCTGATCTTTCGATTGACGTCGCCGAGCCAGTGACGAGTTGCACGCCCTTGTCTTTTGCAAGTTCGAACATGCTGGTTGTGAAGAGATAGGGGTGAACTTGTGCTGTTCCTTCCGGACCTGACATAGGACTGTACGACTCGGTGAGCCCGTCTTTGACCCATTTTAAGTCGTCTGGTAGACCTGTCTCGTCTCTGGATGTCTGGCTACTCGACCCAGCGTTACTGGGACTGTCCAAACCCAGCGTCTTCTCCAAGCTTTTCTTCTGACCTCCTATGCCGACACCCGACCCGCTCTCTCCCAACTCTTCGCCCTTGCCTTCCCAGCTTCCACATCCAACAAACCTCCAACCCCATCTCTCCGCTCCATTATTCTCCTCTGCAAGTCTGACGTGCTCAGGAAAGGAGATGTCGACGAGTTCACGAGGGTACGCCCATTTAGCGACTAGTCCTCCCGCTTTTCCTGATGCGCCCTGTGCTGGGCCGTGTGCGGATGCCTCTACGAGAGTTATAGTCGTAGTGTCGGGTGTATATGACGGGTGTCGAGAGAGGTAGTAGGCTGTTGTGCATCCGATGATACCGCCCCCGACGATGACAATGTTGCGATGCTCCGTTTGAGACATGAGTGCTTTATAACAATATGTGTAGAAGTGTGAGCTCTAAATGGTGAGCGGGAAAGCGATGATACAGGTCGGGGGAGTATGAGTCTGAGCGAAAACGATACTTACAGATGAGTGGAGTTGTAAAGATAGTGTCCGGATCTAGCGGCCCGAAATGCGACCATAGAGATGTTTTCCCGTGACCCTTCAGACTTGTACTTACTCTGCAAGAACTTTGACTTACCCACTTGCACCTGCACGCCGAAGAATTCGTTTCAGAAGGAATCAATAATCCAAAAAGCTTTCAACAACGGAAAAAAAGACTGCGACCACCTAGTGGAAGTCGAAAACGCGATCCATGGTCCCAGACGAAACCCAATCGGACGTTCCTTTGCTGGATGGAATCACCATACACCACTTCACTCGCGAATCGGACGTGTCATTATCTTCGCCAACGTCTCTTGTTGAACACGGGAGGGCTCTCGTAAATGCTGCGTGTTATTCAAATGGTTGGGTGAACACCAATGCGAGTTTTGGCGAATACGACTTTGGTGCGCACTATCTGTGCTCGTTTGGGTATCGTCAATGTACTAAATTCGTTCTTAGACCTTTCTGATAGGAAGCTATTCACGGTTGCTTTAGATCCTCCTACTTTATCGTCGGAGGAACAAGGAAGGCTGGGCTCGTGGGCTCGGGATCTCAAGGACTGGGGAGCAAGCCCGGGCGTCACGGACTGGGACTACTTCACGCTAGATGATTTATCTAGCTTTGAAAGCACAGACTTTGAGTATTTGTCTGTTTACTTTCACAGCTATGACCGAAAACGCCCGGGGAAAATAAACAGACACGAGTCTGAAATACAAGACCCTGAACCGCTGACAGATGACGCTAGGACTTCTCGACGTAGAGCTCGATCTCTCTCACAAGAAACGTCTCCAAATGTTTTGGTAAGGCCATCCAAAAGGACCCGTTATGACATCTCTCCACTTTTCACCGCGATACCTCAGGTTCGTGGTCTTTTGACTTAGAGCAACCTTCAACATTAATCGTCCCAAATGGATCGCACAATAGCCCCACTTTTACTCTGCCCGTTTTACAGATTGCCTGCCTAAAACTGCGTTGCGCGTCAAGCCCTATGCCAAAACAGGCAAAGTACCATTTCCACCATATGATTCCAAATCAGTCCAAGAATATCTGGATACTCCTTATGCTAGGGGAGCTTGGCTTATTCCTGTACGTGGAATACCACCCTGGGATGACGCGACGGTTGCAATCATATTGGATCCGCTACCGGGCGAAGATATTTTGCTTCCTAGTGGCCCAGTATCAGGGGTAGCGAACAATTCTCAGATCGCTTGGACACACCCAGCTCTGCTCGCTTTCTGGAATTTTCTTATTTCTCTCAGGGAAGCGAATACCCTTGGACCTATCTCGCTCTCCTTCCATGCGGCCCCTTCAAATACGTCGTTCTTCACTGGGAGCGATACTCACACAACGAATAGTCTATCTTATCCAAATCGGCCTCCGTCATTGAAGTCACCGGGAGGCTCGAGCACTGTGCCAGGTTATCCATGTCGCACACCATTGGACAGGGTCGATCACATCAAAGTTTATCATGATGTGTGCTACACCATGATTATTAGGAATGTACTAGACGCCTTTCAGTACATTATGGAACCGGAGCGATATGATGGGGGTTCTAATGGGAAGAGCGTGAATAGAAAGCCGTCTCAACAAGAGACCGAGCTTACGACACCCGAGGTCGTCGAGAAGACTCAAAAAATAAGGATGCTAAAAGGGGCAAAACTTGTCTTCGTAAACGATCGAGCCCAAGGGGTTTTCTTGTCATGATGGGAGGGCGCATCGTCTTTACCCCAAGTCATATTATTCAGAGCCCATGCTGCGACCGTGATACACCTGACGAGCAAAAAGAAACCCAATTTTTCATCACAGCAAGCCTACCTCGTGCTCCATCCTTTGTAGCGCTTACAATTCACGGAACGAGGACTCAGCAAGTCCAATTCCGGCTGTCATTATTGGGTGTAATTATGTCGTCCGCGATGATATTTTCCTTCGCCTACTTTCGAGCACAACATGGCGCATGGCTCATAACGCCTGACGCTGAGATTATTTCTCCAGGCGCAGCATGTCAAGTTAATGAAACGCCCGCAAGCCCCAATACACATGGTGGGCGAAAGTCACAACCTCACTAACCGTTCATTTCGACGAGGCTATGGATAGCCATGAACAACTGTGGCGGAACTGTCAGGGATCCAGTAGCCTTTGTCGTACGGCTAGGAGGACCACGCCTTCTGCTGCAACATACAGTGGCGTCCATGCACTGTGGTTTCTAAACTCTATCTGTCGATTGCAATTAAGTATGCTAGGATCACCCTGTACTATCAACTGGAGGCCGTGCGTTCTTTCAACTCTGTGTAGTACTGCCTACTTACCTAATCTCCTGATAGTATCTACAGGCTCTTAGCCGCAGTTTCCCGATCATGAGTTTTGTCGTAGTCATTGTAACGCAATGAATTGAGCACTTGTCGATGTATTCACCTCCATCGTCGGCGGGCTGCACAAAGGGGATAAAAGGAGGTCGGCTGTCTAGGACCGAAGGCCGGTAATATCCGAGCTCACAGTCGGCAACTTGCGTGTCATTTTGCCACTTGTGAATTTGACTTGCCAAAATTCTACGTTCAAGCGACGTTCAGTTCAAATCTGCCAATGAATCTCCCGTCTCAATACAGATCATTCGTAAAGATAAGGACTCTATAGTATTCACGGTAAGCAAAATTCTCTTTACTGCTAGATTCACTCCGTTCCAGTTTTCATATCGATAGTACGTCTATAGTCTAATGTTTTTCTCGTGGTCAGGTAGTCCTCGGAATTCCTGTATCTGTAGGGACATCTCTTCAAAAATACATCAGAAGTTCAACCAGGGATTTGATGAAAGTGGGCATTGAACACACGACTGGATGATTCCCTTTCTTTTGCTTCTGCTTAGAGGAAGAAACACTGCAACTTCCGCGGCGAATGCTCAATACGTTCTCCATGAGCTGGCAATGCATTGCAATGCTGAACTTCCCCGTCCTTAACGATATGTTCGTTCTTAGCGCGGGAGTGATGGCTGCGTTACTGCATCCATGTTGGGAATGCTCGGGGTTGCCGCCTTGCAAAGGTGGAAATCGGCCATGCGATGTTTTTTTTATCCGCTAGGCTGATCATCTTCTAGTCGGGAGATCGTTTCTGCGTCTGCTGTAGAGACTCAACATGGAATCGGCCCTCGACGTGACAAAAGGAAATCGACCTGATGTTCTGCGTGCCAGGCGGAGAACACGGTGCATGTACGTGGGAGCAAGCTGAGGTCAGTCAATCCTGTGTAAAGATGGCGACTCGTTCTCCGTGTTTACGTCGAATTCCTCTTAAACATAATTGGTCGTCACTATATGTCTATTTTTGTAGCCTTCTTTCATATCCCAGCGTGTTGCTTTCGATAAACGGAGATTCCTTTGTTGACTTGAGCACTATTCTCGAGATACTCCTCTAACACCTGTGCTAGCCATCTACCAGTTGTCATTGGCAGGTGCCTTCGGGCTGTAGTTCTAACCTCCGGTGCGGAGCGCACGTGGACGGTGTGTTTTTACGTATCCGAACATGAAATCATACCTTCAGCTCACTCTCGACCGGTTACACAGTGTCCACGCAGCACAAGCGAAGTGAGTCTAGACTTTCAGGATCAGGCCGACAATATGGCGATTTGTTACTTACTCGTGGCGAACTTTTCAACTGGCAACGGTTATGCGACTTTCCCGACTGTGGTCATAACGCGCGCTCATACGCTCGGACGTATAAAGTGCTCAGGACAAAGTGATGAGAGATCGAAAAAAATCGTTGTAGGGTCAGTTATGTCAGTCCTCCCGGCTACCCTCTTTTTCATTGGTCACATACCCGCCAGGTTTCGGTATTCCAAGTTGGCTCATTTTATATTTGAAGAAAGAAAATGCGCAGTGATGGATAATCTACGTATTGACGTGTCCTTTATCCAGTGGTCTCGGAAGACAGCGAATGTGATCACATCTGCTGTTCTGACGAAGATGTATGCCCTTACCCATCCTGACGGCACTCTGACTTCCCATTAAAGGCGGTTTCGCGCATGAGGCAACCACGCTGCAGCCTTCCTTACCTGTACAGGCGCTTGGAGGTGTCATCAGTCTTATCAATTCGTATATAACACTGTTCGTCGGTTCCACCTCACTCCCGTGTTATACACTAATCCACTTGTAACACTGTACTTTTTCCGTATCATAACCCACCTACGAACATCTCTTCGCGAATAATGCATCAATCGAATTTCCCATACACTGCCGAAGATAGGCAGCGTCATCCCTACCTCACATCCGTCTTGAATCCCGTTTCCCAGAAAGTGATCGCCACAGCTGCAGTTCGAGTCTACCACGCGTCCTTTCATGCCTCTCAAAACGACTGGAGTCCTTCAAAATTAAAAGGGATTCTCGTCTTTGGGAGGGATCGTGACTCCACTGGAAATGGTGGCAACCGACCTACAGACCGTGGTGAACATGGTTTACGTGTCAAAGAGAAATATTGGTTTCGGCTTGTGGACGTTAAGACCGATCGAGTAGTTTGGATGTTTGCAATCCCCGAGGTCTTCGAATACAACAAGGACAAACCATTCTTTCATTTCTTCTCTGGGACGGTGAGTAGTCATCCTTTTGTTCTTTGTTTGACATGAACTAATGCTCCTTCATCATCTAGACTCGTAGATTTGGGTTCTGTTTTGACGAGGACGAGGAGGCTGCATTGTTCTATAAGACAGTCACTCAGAGGACGCGACGCCACCGTAAGTCCGCCTCCATCTAAAGTCCCTTTATCCCATACCAACAACGTTTTATAGTGGTCAATAAACTCCCAACAAGCCCAAAACCCAAAAAGAATGTAAAATTCAATCCAAAGCAGCCAACGCCGCTGAAAACATCCATGATTTCGGGGCCCACCCCTCATTCTTTTGTTCACGTGTCACATGTTGGCATCAATAACAAAGGAAACATAGAGACTTCGAAGAACATAGGTCCTGCGTGGGCAGCTCTTATCGCTGACTTGCAAGGACATGGTGTACCCCAGAACGTTGTAGAAGACAACTTTGACTTCGTCGAAGGGTTCTTGGCTGGTGCCAAGTCGATGCGCAAGAGTACGCCTCGTCCTGACGCCACATTTCAACAACGTAAGTGTTATCATGGGTTAACGTTTTGGCAATGGGATGAAGCGTTAATACTTGGTCATATCAGTGCCCCAGGCAAAGATCAGAGTGCATAGGAAACCTGTGCCATCCGCTAATTAATTACCGAAGCGTCGACACCGGAATCGTAGAAGAAAAGGGGAAAAGAAGATCAATGTCTGCCAAAATCTTGAAATCTGTTATATTACGGCGATTGTTGTATTGTTGTACTTGTATCATCAGAACTGACTACGGACTGAATATACTACATAGTGGGGAGGTTATGCTACTCTATATCTCGGAAAATGAGACTTATGCTGTCTATAATGATTGTGTCGTTATCTAAAAATTGGATTTATTTAGTTCCCTTGGGAGTAGTGTCTTGCGTATTTTACCTAAATTAATGCTCTTGATGGTATGATAAGTCGATGCGCTTAGAAGCGCGTCAAATCACGGCCAAAAATCCCTGTTAAGAGTTATGAGTCAGGAAGGAAAAGGAGTATAACGAGATCACCAGACGTACAGTTCATGAACCTGTGTAGGGTGATAAGTTAGTAACTAGTCCTTGTTCTTCGGTTAAGGACTTAGGAGTACTAACCAGTACATTGGTACCAAGATCCTATAATGCGCTATGTGCTAAGGGACCGCAATTACAACTTGATAAGAACGTGAGACGTACTTATTTCTCAGGCTCAAGGTCATCGTGAAGTATGCCGAGCGCCATAGGAGCCAAGCTAGTCGCCCCGATTCTTTCGTCTTGATCCCTGTATCAGCACCTGACCTATCATAGATAGCTTTCCTAGTACGTTAGTTAGCCACAACGAGAACTCGCGATAACAGAGGCGAACAAACCAGTCTCCTAAGTACGCCATACTCCCCAGATCAAGGAACTCGAATGGCTTCGTATGTTCTTGGTCTTTCACAATCTTGTTTAGCTTCTTGACGAGATACTTTGCTTTCTGGTTAGCAACTGCAAACAGATTAGTCATGAGCAGCAAACAGGGTATCATCACTGACGTATCATCACTGACCTTGAGCAGTTGCAGGTAGACGAGCGTTTGGTATGACCGAAGCATCACCGATAGCCCATACGTTAGGGTCTGGCGTACCATCCTGCTTGATGACATTCAGCTGTTCATCGGTGAGAAGGCTAGATAAGATCGTGAGCACAGAGGCAAGGGTATGACGGAATACTAGCGATGACTACCTTTGGGTTTTCTCGTCCTTCGAAACTTCTTTGATCGATTGGATAAGTGGGTTAGGGGCTAAACCGGTGCTCCAAACCAAAAGGCCGAAGGGGACTGCGAAAAAGATGAACCTTAAAAATGTGAAGATAATAGATGGAATCGAGATTTGGCACCTTCTCCTTGCTCCTTTACGAACATTTTGTCCTAGATGAATAGCACTGCCTTAAAAGGGACCGCAGCACTGTGGACATTAACGGCTCACCTTTTCAACACGTTCAACGTGGTGCCTTGTCTTAATACTGATACCATCTCTCTGGAATTTGTCTACAGCATAGCTGTACTATTTGTCAGACGCACGGTATAGCCACAGGAAGATGATGGGAAACCTACACTCCTAACGACTTGTCAAAGTTGCCGAGGATATTCGGAGCCACGTCATACAGCGTGATTTTCGCCATTCGAGCCAGTGAAGGATAGTGTTTTTCTATTTCTGCGTGGAGCAAGTCGTGTAGCTCTGCTGCAAATTCAACACCGGTGGGACCGCCCCCTATGATGCAAGTATCAGAATGTGCTTAAACCCACGTCAGAACTTGTTTGCTGACCAACGATGCAGAAATTTAGTAGGCGGCGGCGCTCAACGTCGGATATGATAGGTTGGTTTGCTTGCTCGAAACCTATGATTGCGGGTCAGTATTATCGGAGGTGTCAAAGGTACACAGTATATACGCACACTCAATAATTCGTGTCCGAATGGATCGAGCGTCCCTAACATCCTTCAGGAAATGAGCATACTCCTTGACCCCTGGAACGTTGAAAGCTAAAGGCAGTGGTTAGTATTAATTGAGTATATATTTGGAGTATACGTACTTTGAGAATAAGCCCCTACTGAAATCACGAGTTTATCGTAGCGCAGAGTGAATGGCGTGCCAGTGCCAGGAAACTGCGTTTCGGTAGTTGTGTTGCCCACCATCGGTGCTGATGACTTCTCAAAGGACAACGGAGGGGTGGCGGGCATCTAAAAGTGAAAACCGTAAACACGCGAATTCTTCAACATATACTGTTAACACAAACGCATTTCAGGGTCTTTTGTTCGAAATCTGCAACGTGAACAAGTCAGAAAGCATTGATAATTGTGAGTACGGATAAGGGTGCACCAATTGCATCGCACCAAGCCTGGTAGGCAGCCTTCGGGTGAAGAGTTAAGCGGTATCTGATAAATATAGATCTAGAAGAATACTTACCACTTGTGGAGAAAACTTCCGAACCTGGTCATGTCATTAGTTGGAGAAGCTTTTGCGTCTGTGGACTGTGGAACTTACTGGTTCTATGGCACAACGAAATTCAAGGGTACCAACTGCACAACTTGCAAGTAGAGGAGTGAAGTTGAAAGCATTGGTCGGGGACAGCATGGTGACATCTGCAACAAAAGACTCGTCAAAGGCTCATCCATTATGGCATACATACAAAACTTACTCCATCGTTTCTTGTCCACGCCTCTCAAAACTTCATAGCCTCCCCATCCAGAACCAAGGATGACCAGACGTTGTTTGCTCCTAATGGCTGAAGAGCTAAAAAGCCTTGACGTTGACCTTACTTTAGATGAGGAATGGACACAAGAAGGAAGGGAACTGTAGGGTGTCCTGAACATGATGGGGGGGACTAGAGAGATCCAATGGAGACTGAAATTTCTGGCATGAATTTATAATCCTGAGCGCGTATGACTATTGAGGATAGTTTCGCAGTGCTTTTTCGGGACATGTCGGGTGGGCCCTTGACGTAGATGACTGCATCATACGATTTATAGAAGCAAGCGCCCCCCAAGGAAGTGTTCTAGTGTCTCAGAATAAATCTTTTGTACTATGACACCATCATGGGTCCACTTCACCGCGGCCGCGATATACTTCACCGTCTCAAAGTTCTCAATCTTAACGTAACCAGTCACTAACATCGAACCGTAGATGCGTAAATGTGGCAATGCCTCCTGCGCTAATTCAGATCCTTTCACTCGAGTGCATAATCTACATGTTCAAGTAATTTACAGACAGTGTAAAATAGAAAAAGACATATGGAGACAAATATGCAAAAGTATATATCATAGCATCGGAACAGATGACTGTTCTATCATCCGAGAAGTTTCGAAAACAGGTTCATAGATCGCATTACACCGCTCTTCAATCCTATCGTCGCGGTACGCTGCACTTTGACCGTTTTCTCCACCTTCTCTGCCACGACAGAAGAAAAGTAATCTTTGAGTTGACCCAGTCTGACGGATCCCTTATTAAACGCTCTCGGTAGCCCGCTCTTAGCTTGCTGAGTTGCTTCATTCTCGTGCCTATGGCTCAATGCCTCCAAAATGGCAAGCGTGATCTTTTCTTCAAATGACCATGTCCACGAATCTGAAGGGTCCTGACAGGTATGTGTTGCATCAGCGGCGACAGGGGCTGGCGGCTCCGAGTGTAGCGCAGCAATATTTTCTCGAAATATAGGAAGGCGGCGCCTCAGACGTGCCTTGGGTGGATCAATTCGATTAGGTCCAGTATCCGGGAACCCGTTCGACGAGTGGTCATATGTTCTGCGTCCTATAACAGATACGAGAGAAAATACTTCCGAGCTCATGTAGAAATCCGATGAAGACGACGAGAATCGCGATGCGAGATATGGATATGTTGGCTGATAATCGTCGTGTAGATAGCGTTCGGTGTGTCTTTCGTCGCCTGAGGGTACGTAGCTAGACAGAGGGGAGTCGCGAAGAAGTGATGACCTATTATCACATACGTTACGAATTTTGCGATCGTGATCAGGGGTAGCCTGACACGGGTCCCGATTCACCGTAGGAGTTACATAGTGCGAGTCAGAGGCAACTGAAAGTGTGTTGTTAGATTGTTCTACTTCGAGGGTGTCCAAATCATCGACAGAAGGACCATCGAATGTGACTGGCGCGCAAGGCCGTCCCAGAGCCAGAGCTTCCGCCTTTGAGACATTATCAGGTGGAATCTCATTACGCGGGTCATGGATTGTTGGCACCTCTGGATTTGGGTTTGGATCAGGAAATCCATAGTCAAACATTTTAAGCGTTGCTTCCTGTTCGGCCTGGTCAGCAACTAGGGCGAGTTTACCAACAAAGTCGCTTTCCAGTGGCCATGTCACTCTTAAATCGACTTCTTCGAACAACCTTTCGGTAGCGTGAACTTCGACCCGCTTTTCGAGACACCTTTCCAGAAGTGCTTCATCCCAATCGGTACTCTGTTTCATTTCGACTTCATTATCAAGAGATAAAGATATGTCGTTGATAACAGGGCTCTTTCCGGGATGCGGTAGCGGAGAATATCGTAGCATTGCGATATCATCCCACAGGTCCCATATCGTGTCAAAGAACGGGTGAAACTTGGCGTCATCTCCACAAAGACGGTCATCAACACAATAGCCAAGAAGCTGAGATAAAACGTTAGCGAAAGCTCAATTACATTATATCACTTCTACTGACCTGCTGCAAGAAATCCCGTAAATCTGGATCCAAGCCTTCACCCCTCTCAAAGTCCAGCACCAATTCCTCGCTTTCGGTGGCCGACTCGTCTGCAGTCTCTCCATACGGGACGTCACCTGTCGCGATCTCCCATAATAATATGCCTAAACTCCAAAAGTCCACGCGTTCATCATAAATAAGCGATCCGTCATCTTGATGGTCGAATAGTTCCGGTGCAGCATATAATGGAGTAAACGTCGTTGACTCGGATGGAGGGAGTATAATAGGACCACGCTGTACATTATCTGGCGCTGAAATCAGTGATCCAGAGGAATCATTTTCAGATAAGAGCGGGAGCGGGCGGGCAGCACCGAAGTCTGAGATAATCGCATGACCATGAAAAGAAATCATAATATTGGCAGGCTTTAGGTCTTGGTGTACAATTCCCAGCCGATGAAGATACAGGATGCCTAAAACGAGTTCGGCTGTAAGAAAGCGGAAAGATTCTAGCGTTCTTTCCAAGTCTTGGGTAGCGTTGAGGCAGGCAGGCGGATGAACGAGGAGTAGACGTCGAGCCGCCTGAGAATGTGCTAGTGAAATCGGGTGATATTCCTGTTTACAGAAAAGGTTTACTCAGCCGGTGCATTATATGTACGAATAAGAAGAATCAATAGATACCAATATCATGTAAACGAACTCATCATCTTGAAAGCATGCCAGTGTATTCTGCAAGAACGATACGCCCCGTAGGCTTTCGTCGTCGAATCCGCATTTATGTACGCGCCGGTTAAGAGATATTGCTTCAGCAACGGACTTCAATACTGTAAGCTCTCCCTTGATGCCTTTCGCTCGCTGGAGGGTCATACTCCGCTTTTGAAGGACCTTCATGGCGCATTGCCTGCCTGGACTTTTGTTTACACTAAAGCATGAAAGCATCACTTTACCGTACGTTCCTCGGCCAAGCGTTCCAAGTAATCTATACGATTTCAACGAGCACAAATCCGGTAGCGTCTGCGAAAGTGTCCGTGCCAGGAATGGAGGGGATTGTACGAGAGTCAGCGAAGCAGCGTAGCCGCTGGATATGTCATCATGACTAACAGTGGAAAGGAGTGAAGAGTTCATAGAGGAAGAGGATATTTGAGACGGAGATGAGAAGGGGGTATATGCATATTCTCCAAGATAATCTTGTGATGGAAGGCAGGAAGAGGAGGGTAAGACACTAGAACTGGACATATGTCGACGGTGTAGCATACAATCAAAATTTGTGATTGGGAGCGAGATAGAAGACAGTTGTCGGGGCTCGCTAGCTGAGTCATAAAAATCGTAAGTGTCATGAGTTAAGGGAGGCAATGGTATATTCGTAGAAAGTCGATGAGCATTGGTAGAGAAGTCGTACTCCGCTGTGGGAGAGCAGCCAGAGGAGTGGAAGCTATGTGGCATAGAGATACTTGTGCACGGCATAGCTCGCGCATCGTCAATCGGGATGTCCTGCGAGGCTCGTCTCTCTGAGGTGCTACTACATGAAGGCGTATCGCAATCAGGTGGAGAAAAGAAACAGGGAGCATTGGTTGGGCATTGTCCTTTGTGATTTTCCTCTACCTCGGGGCTAGTGCAAGCCACTACGTTGGGCAAATATCGAGTTGTGAGTGGTCCACTTTCGTCCGGTCTCCTTCTGATTGATCCAAGGAATTCCGTAACTCGATGCCATGACTTCATGTTGGGCTTCTTCTAGTTAACATAAACCTGTGGACGGAGAACTTCTGTATGGGAGAAAGGGAAAATTAGCCACAGAGAACACGCGAGGGGCAGAGGCTTAAGTCTTGGAAACCAGATTGTGGAACTTCATTTCGATGTCAAATTTATCAAATGTCAAGAACGAAATGTACTCAGCTCGCTGTAGTCGAGATCACTAATGACTCGTCAGACATATCTGTCATGAGCTACGTAGCTGCGGCATCGGCTTAGTGAGACTTACACAGCAAGAAGAGGAATAGACGCGGCGTCATGCCGTGGCCTATCCCCGAGCCTAGCCAGAATTACATTAATGATCGTTCTCCGTGATAAAGAACGAGACGATAGAAATGAGGCACCAACTGGCACAGCACCAAAAATGAAGACGAGTCAAAAAATGGAGAACGGATCATGAGTGCGTATGCCCGTGATAAGAAAACATATGAGATGTGTAATCAGTAATATCTGGAATAGGCAATATAATGGAAGGTGGTTGCGCCTTGGGTTGGCAACGACTCCAGTAAAGCGGAACGCAAAGGAACTCCGTTACTCTCCAGCCATGTCTCACTTCAATTCTAACTGTCAAGATAAGAATGCACTCACCAATCGTTGCGTACGAATGATTCATTTGGCCTTTCCAAGCACAGCGGCAGGCGACAACTTATAGAAAGAACAACTTGTATAATAAATTGCATGAGCGTTCGGGTTTCCATGTTAAGCCACTAAAGTTGGATGATCGGACTCCTATAATGGGGTTCTCTTATCAGTAACGTTGATACGTGTTTGGCTACACAATCTTGGAGATAAACCTAACACGGGGAAGTATAGCCAAGCGACGAGCGGTGGAGCCTCGACTGGAAATACTGTAGTAGGACTGCCGTCGTGTCTGCAGTACCTGTTCAAGCTTTTCATAGTCAAATAACCAGATTTAAAGCGTGAGCATGAGTAACATAGCATGGGAGCCTTTCTCGCTATATTCGCAGACAGTGAGAGACATATGACGTCACGACTTGCATTTCTACCTTCGACTCCGTATCTCTATCGTTTGAAGCAGAATGTTATCTTCAGTCAGCCCACTCACCTCTTTGCGGGTATCTCGACATATAATACCGCGCAACAATCTTATCCCCAACACGTCTCTCCAGAATCGTCCTCTCCTCATATACCACTCATGCTTCCCTCCTTCGAGTTCTGCCTCATCCATTGAGGCGCATCTCAAATCTGTCGGTGTCGTTTCCCCACAATGGCGCTACACGATGTACAGCACAACTCATTTCCACAGTACAACTCACGAGGTACTGTGCATCTCGTCAGGACGTGCAAAACTCTGTTTCGGAGGGGAAGATAATTCAGAGAGGGTGGAGACAGAGATAACGAAAGGCGATGTGATCATCATGCCTGCTGGCGTAGGCCATCGTTTGCTGGATGACTTGGATGGCAACTTTGAGATGGTGGGCAGTTATCCGAAGGGAAAGAATTGGGACATGTGTTACGGAAGGGAAGGAGAGGAGAAAAAGATAGCAGGAATAAGCGATCTGGGATGGTTTGACAGAGATCCAATTTATGGAGACGAAGGACCAGTTCTATCATCATAACTTTCGTTCGTCTGCAACCCGAGATAGCTACAGCATCAACAAACATCTAGCCACGGGAATCCTTGTAGTTATCTCGCCTGTATAAATCCATACTTTCGAATTCGCCGGAAGAGAGGAAACTATCACAGTTACGACTGGACAGACAGTGGACGCAGTAAAGAACAAATTGACGTGGCTAACGCTAATCGTACTCGGCAAATATTTTGGTTATGTAATGGCGCCTGTAGCCACATCCACACTCGGGTTGGTCTTGACCAGCCTCTTCACTCACCGTTGGTTTACCGTATTCATTCTCTATGCCCTCACCAGACAAGGACGTTTCCATGCAGGATTCCAGTGAAAATGGAGCTGTGCTAAAGAACGTTGTGGAGGCTGCACAGGAGTTTGTGGAGACCATACAACCCATAGAGAGCGGTGAAGGAAGTTCGTCCAGTGGTAGCTCAGAGGAAAAGGCTGAAGACTCAGGGTCCGGAGAGAGCAAGTCGACCATGGAAGAACGGAAAGCGAAAATGGAACGGCTAAGAGCAAAGATGGTGAGTTTAATGTTCCTTCCATTCCCTATTTTCAACTTCTCCTCGATCGTCTGTTTCTACTTTGGTGTTCTTTTCTCTTGAAACTAAGAGTGCTACATTTATCCCTTGTAGCGAAATTCGACGCAAGCCAATCGCGCTTCTCTCGTTGAAGAGTCTGCCAAAGCTAAAATAACTGCGCGAGACGCCGCACGACTCGAGCGTCAGCGTAAACTTGCAGAGATCTTGCGTACAAAAGCTGACGCAGAGGAACGTGGGGAGGATGTGGAGAGGGACAAGAACTGGGAATGGACCATCGAAGACAACGACAACTGGGAGAAAAAGAAGGCACGCAAAGCACGGCGAGCAGATTTCGAATTTCACGGTAAGTATCATTTTGTTCGAGATGCTTTACTTTTCGATGTTAACTTATCCTGGTGTAGATGATGCCCACGCTGCTAGACGGCGGTATAAAAAGGACCTTGATTTGATCAAGCCAGACCTCGAGGCATACAATCGACAAAAAGAACTAGCAATGGGGCTAGCTCCAGGCTCACTTGCCAATTTGGGTGGTGGTGGCCCTTCATCATCTTCCTTCGCACTAACGACCTTTAACTCTACCGGGAGTCAGGTGAGAGGTTTTGCGAAATCTTATAGTCAGTTCTTGTACTGACTGAGAAATCACTTCAGTTGGTGCCTAGTGATCAACAAAGGATTGCTGCTGAAAGCTTTTATCGTGATGCCAACACTCTTCTTTATGCCGATAACAAGCCAACAGAAGATGCCATTGACCGTGTTGTGGGCAAAATCAATAGAGAGTACGTACCGTCTGTTGTCGTTTGGTGTCAGGTACTAATGAAGTAATATAGCATTGACAAAAAGGGCAAATTCTCGCGCAAGAGACTCAATGAGGAAGAGGGTGACATCACCTATATCAACGAGCGTAATAGGGTATTCAACAAGAAGGTGCGAGATTTTACTTTGTCTCAGGTAGTCCTAAGTAATATTTACCACGATGACCCCCACAGATTGCCAGATATTATGACAAGTATACTGCAGAGATTCGGGCGAGTTTCGAACGTGGTACAGCGTTGTGAATCGAATGAGATATTTATTTGTTTGATTAGAGGGTATGTTATGCGTGTAATCTTGTATCATCATTTCTTTCATGGACATTCAAGAAAGAAATCTAAACAGTCCATCCGACTCCATTGCTATATTTTGAGAATAGCAGTAGAACATAATTTGCATACTGTCCTGATTGACAACAAAACTGTGCAGTGTAAGAGATTTTGGAAACAACGGCGATTTATTAACAACTACAGTGCAATACATAAAACCGAAACATAGATAGTTGTGTAAGTCCTACATCGCTTCAGACCAGTCACATTGTTTACACATCAACGAGTCAAGGCCATCATCATCATCATCTGAGTGATAAGACGTTCGTCAGCGATCCAGTCAAGAAAGCAACCCAAAGATAGAATAAAGAGAGAATCAGAATTGCAGAAGTAAGGAGGTCAGCAGTTGGAACACGAAGAACCATAAGACTGTTGAGCTTGATATGTGATAGTTTGTTCATCAAATACATAGCGAGAATTTGGAACAGCGAAGAGATAGAAGGAATGCTTACTTTTTCAGTACTCAGTCAACGAGCGCCTTTCTCGTAGTAAAGTTGCCATAGACGTTACTGACAACAGAAAAAAAAAGGCGATATAAGCTAATTTTAAAGCTCCGACTCTTATCGCCGACTAACACAGAACGACAAAAGCCGAGACTAAAATTTGGACCTCAAAACATTTTGCGGTGCTTTTGAGAGACTCGGACAACGAAGCAACGTAACAATCTATAGCGATTAATCAAAGTTATATGATGCTGTGACTTGGTACTGTCAAGCCAAGGCATCGGTTGTCAACTCAGGTGGTTCATTTGTTCGGGCCTCATACCATTCCTGTATTGAACATCGATGTCTTCTTCCTCTCATAAAACGCCAGCAAATGACATTGTGAGTGAACCTGCGAGCGATGCTGCTCCACTTCGGCAAGGCCCAGCTTTCGAATATCAAAGAGACCTTGATAAGGTTCAGCGGAAGCTGGGAAGGCAGCACATACAGATGTACGCTTACACGTTCCTCTGTCTCTTCCGCTCAACCTGACGCATTCTTCTAGGCTTGCAGTAAGTTTGGTCCGCAGAGCATATTATCAAACTGGTTGAAGCGTTTTTCAGCTCGCGGGCACAATTGGAACAGGTCTATTTTTGGGCCTCGGGCAGATCTTGGCTCTTTGTGGCCCACTGGGTGCTCTATTAGTCTATCTGCATGTTGCCTCGGTCGTTTACGCGTAAGCAACCTCGATAGGCTATTTTGTAGCTGGGCTTAATATATTGCAGGACTTTGACCTCGGTTGGGGAGCTCACTGCTTATGCTCCTGTTTCCGGAACTCTGATACATTATGGTATGAGATATCATGCTGATACTCTGCTTCATATCTAATAGTAGACTAAGCTGCTCGATGGTTTGACCCAGCACTGGGTTTCGCTGTACGTCATTACACTTATTTGAGTTTAAGGCCGAACATGCGCCTAACTTCATAGATGTTCTGTTTCAGCTTGGATGGGTACGAACCTCTGTATATGTTTATAACTACTGATTTGCTCAGGGAAGTGAACAGAATTATTTTTATGTACGTCAAGTTCTGGTTCTACCTGCCTCATGAACTCATTTCTATCCAGTATGCAGGCATCGCAGTGCCCGTGGAGGTAACAGCTCTATCTGTCCTTGTGGCTTTCTGGGATAAAGACGTATGTGGTTTTTGCCAACGTACACTGAGTCGTGGCCTCAACTCTTCTGTTAGCCGAATCACACAGCAATCTACATAGCAGTAACTATTATATTGCTTATCATTATCAATCTTTTTGGCGTTAGGTATGTTTTCAAGGATAATATGCTTTCTCTCAGTTGATTCCGTTTTAGATTCTTTGGAAATTGTAGATTATGTTCACTCTATCTGTCTGTTAGATTCTGAGTTTTTTTACAGCTGAGATTGTCTTCGCAACGCTCAAAAGTGAGTCTGTGATATCTCTCAGAAGATCCATATCCTAACTGCAATGGGCCATCTAGTAATGCTTATCATTGGACTAGTAATCGTCTTCCCTTGAAATTTATCCACATGCACTCATAAACGTTTAGATCATCGGAGGCTTGGTCGTAACGCTAGGTGGAGGGCCAAATCATGAGCGGTAAGCCCCTTGGTTGTTCAACAGTTATCAGGCTCATGCTCGTCCAAAGGCACGGATTTCAGGTATAGTCCTGGACAATAATATCACTATGACCTATGACGTTTATTCATGGACATCAGTATTGGCGCAATCCAGGTCCTATGGTGTCATGTTAGTACATCGTGCGTCTTTGGGTGAAACCTACTCATTTATATGCGACTGCAGATTTGGAACCAGGGGGCCGTGGTCGATTCGTTGGCATGCTCGTAGCTCTAGTACCTGCGGCATTTTCCATGAGTGGAGTGGAACTAATTGCAATGTGTGACCCCTATGTGCTACCTAAGCAAGCAAGGACTGACTAGGATGTAGCTCTGCTGCAGAAACACAGAACCCCAGGAAAAACATTGTTAGAGCGATGCGAACGGTTCTTTTCCGCATTCTTTTCTTCTATGTGAAACATACCTTCTTTTCATTCTGTATGCAACTAAGCTTATGTGCGCCTAGATCACCGCTGTTGTGATAGTTGGGATGCTGGTACCTTCCAACGATCCTCTTCTTTTTCAGTACGCATATATGCACCCACTCCCACCCAGATAGCTAACCAAGTTCATCCGCTATCAGGAAAGCCTCAAATGCAGGACAATCACCCTTCGTACTCGCATTCACCCGTGCGGGCATTAAAGGTCAAGCTGATGTTTCGCTTCTGTTTTCGTTGCCAATAATATCTTTAATGCAGCTCTTCCATCTATCATCAACGCTGTGCTATTGACAAGTGCCTTCAGCGCTGGAAATACACTGTAAGGTCATTCTATTACTATCCTTGCCATAATTCTAATCGCTAGGCGAACAGAATTTTTGCTTCCTCTCGTATTCTGTATGGACTCGCAGTTCAACGGCAAGCACCTCAGATTTTTACACGCTGCACTTCGTCGGGAGTACCGTATGTCGCAGTTATTACTGCAGTAAGGCCTAGTCTACTCTATTCGTAGTATCACACTTATTGTTTGTAGGGCACATTCTCGGTGTTAGCTTTTCTCAATGTAGCTGGAAACTCTGGAACCGTTTTCAAGTATGTTCCTTCCATGCTCACTTTTAACAAGTAATGTTTAAATTACCTTTTCACACAAAGCTGGTTCGTTGATTTGGGTGAGTCGGTTTCTTCTAAGTCTGAAATCAAAATCTGATCAAAGTCTTTTCAAGCTACTGTTGGTGGTCTGTTCGGGTAAAGTGTGCCTCTCTTTTTTTTGTATCGCATCTAATTGTTTTCGTTTAGCTGGGGGTCCATTAACTTGACGTATCTCCGTTACTGTGGGTTTCACTACATCCTGCTGTCCACGATGTATATTCCTGATACTGTACTTGCAGACTATGGCCTCAAACTTCAAGGAATAGTACCCGAGGGGATCTATCGATCCTCCCTTCAGCCTTTTGCTGCCATGTGGGGCCTTTTCTGGTAAGACACCGAGTCTATACATCTTTCTTGATATTTCTAGTCTCAAAGCACATTTTCCCAGGGTTATCTTTTACATATTGGTCAGTGGAATTTCCGTGTTTTGGGCGTTCGATGCATCGACTTTCGTTGCCTCCTGTGAGGATTCATATTATTCAACCTGGAAATTTCTTCTCAATATGTTTTTTTCGAATAGACATCAACATACCAATATTCTTTTGCCTTTATTTCGGCTTCAAGATATATTATAAGACAAAAATCGTGCGTGGCTAATGTTCATGTATCTGTTAGCTTCGTCTCACAAAATGTCATTAGCGTACACTTCGCGATCTCGACTTTGTCACAGTACGTTTAGAACGGATTCAAATATACCCAAACAGGTTATCAGCTAATATCATCTCTAGGACATACCAAAACTTGAGGACACCGAGGACGATGTGCTGCCGACCAAACAGACGCTTATGACGGAAATCCGCCAGGTTGTCTGATTTTTCAGACTGTTGTTTTGCCTTCGATCGACGCTGTTTGTCTCGGATATTGCACTCGATTTCACGAAATCATCCACCACGATCCTTTTTTTTCTATACCCGTCGTTCCAGCTACCTTTTCACTTTTACGCAATAATTTGACGAGTGCATTATATCCTATCCTGGGAAGGCTGAGCGGGCAGCTGAAACAACGCTGTTTTCGCGCTGTCTCGATCCTTGACTCTGAGGTCTTAGGTGGGTAGGGGGAGTGTATAGGTTTGCTGAGGGGTAAGGCGTCCCGGCGAGAAGCCCTTTTGTGCCTGAGGAAAATTGTCTGAGTACACGCATGTTCAGTGACACTTTCAAGCTCGGTTTATAGGGTAGGTGAACCTTGGCTCTGGTTACGCACCGCTGGTACCACAACGACCATGTGTCGCCTTGTACAACTGAACAAAAACTTGAGAGGGTAGCCAGGTCTAGCGGGATTGAGCCTTATCGTCGCCTGATAGGGCATGAAAGACAACAGCAACAGTGCAGTGCCTTGTCATCCTGCTCAATGTTTTACAGGTACATATCGATGAAATGTAGGAAAGAGGTTACACCTACAGATGCTTTAGGCGGGGCACATGCTTTGCGAAGGTGTGGTACGTTCTTTATCTTCATCGTGCCTTGGATGTGATTTGAGACGTTATGCAGCGGTACTTATATTCGCCAGCGTGCCCAGGATCCAAGGATGAGGAAAAACCGCTCGTCTGCTATTTCAACTGTGAAACACGATGCATGATGGATGGACGACACCTTTATGGAAAAGCACAGCGAGTTTATATGGTGGCGAATTTTCACAAAGTTCCTTCATTGATTGAAGCCGTCCGGTGACGAATGGATCACAAGCAGTGGTTGGCTATGCTTGTAATCAGAAGACATCAATTCCTATCGCAGCCAAAAAATAAATAAAGCAAGTACCTTGTTGCGTTCGGTGATGCTAAGGACAAGGCCAAATTTCTCCAGGACCTGAAAGCATTGGTAAGTGACAAACCGGGTGAATTGGGGATTCGTACTTGTACCTTTTCGATCTCCACTACTACCAACCCCGGCACAGTTGATCGAAGACGTCGAGGTAACGAAGTCAAAGCCAAAAAAAACCATTGCGACAGGAGAGAAGCATCTTATAAAGAGGCTGCACTGAGGGTCGTTTCGTTGAACCGTACGTCACATCCCCAACGGTCCAGGCAACCAAGACTGCAAGGTTTGTCTGAGAGCAATTGTGATGAAGACATGGAAAGGCAACAATGCAGCGGCTGGAATTGTAAGGGTGAGTGGTTTAGGTGAGCACGTTGTTCATGATAACATCGACAGTCTCCACACCTGGGGCATTCACGTATATATCTGACACTCCTAGTCCGTAGACCTGAGGTGGGTCGTAGGGCATGATGATACTAGCCAACAGCACTTACCACCGAACAGTCCGTTTGAACAGCTGGAATGATTCCCCAATTGGGCCTCGTACGGTTCGGGTTCAAGGGCCAATGTAGCATACAGACCCAGACCCTGTGGATAAACGTTGACGCAAAGGAGCAGGGAAAAACGCCATGGGAAAAAACACAAACTGGGACGAGTATTTGGCGGCGACGATAACTGGGGGAAAAGAATGCGCGAAAACCACGGGGGGTAAATAACAAATTGTATGGTGAGTATGATACGCCCTAGTAGGCTTAGGATGGTTTCCCTGTCGATACTCATTATTTCCTGGTGCAGATGGCCGGCTCGTCTCCACGTTTCCAGGCGGGAATAATGATAAAAGGACGAGGAATTTTTCAAATAGAACTTCAAGATGCACATCTTGATGAGGTGGCGACGAGCGGGTTCCCCGGTCTTGCGTATGGTCCCTGCGCTGCCGGCACTTTTTTAGGTGAGTATTCTGTGTCAAATTCTGTGCTGTATCTCTATGTTGACACATGGAATCCCCGCAGTAATAAGTCTCCCACAAGCAGTCCAAGAGACTCAAAGGGAGACAGTCATTCATGCTATGCACAGATGCGGCTCCAGGAAGTTTTATCACGGTGATAAAATTCGCCAGCTATCATTTGGTGCTGCGTGGTAATGGCAAAAATACCAAAATGAAAGGACCGCCCGAAAATATGGGATTGCCTATGTCAAAGAGCGTATGAATTATTATTGGGAAACAAAAGTCTTTTGAGTCCTATTAGGCACATGATAAGTGTTCGAAGAGCAGGGCTACAGGTTGCCAGATCTCACCGCAACTATGCCATAGAGGTTTGGGCTACCGTGACTAATATGGATGTCGAGCTTAATGCAGCACTAGTCTCCGATCAACTCGTGTAGTCATGGATCGATCAAAGCGATGAGACATGCACGTAAACCCATACCTATCGTTCAAATGTTTGAGGGCTGTGCCCCGAGGCCCGTTTGGGGCCCGGAGAGTCAGCAAATTCACCGGAGGGTGCTAGCTGCACATATTACTTGCTCGTCAATCTGTAAATGTCGCTTATTTGGTACAATCGTACTCGTTGTGTTGTTGAAAAAACTGAGAAAGATGGTGCTTCTATGATTGTCTTTCAGACATAAGGCACGAATCGTCCATGTAGCAGGCTTAGGACTCGATGTGCTGCTTTAAAGATTCGTACTCACTACTACTGGTTATTATGACATAGGCACGGGCCTGACACGGGCCCCGAAAATAATGAGCATTACAGTGACGGCAGACTATCACGGAATTAAAGATAATCGATCGCGAGTCACTGGAAACTGGAGTACTTCGCTAGCAAGAATAGTATTACAGGCTGGCTCAAGCCTAGTACTGTAGCCCTAGAATTATTCGAAACAACACCTCTGGAAGTCTGTAGCGGTACGAAGCACAGGTTTGAGTCAGCAAGTAGATCATGGAGTACTCTATTCCTCGATACGTATACACCGGGAAAGATGGCATCTCAGAGATCTAGTAGTAGTAGTAGTACCTAAACCGCGTTGTCCCTGCCCAATCCGCACCGCTATAATTTTGGCACCGACATATGATGGCTGTGCGATGTGTACAAAATACGCTATCAGCGGATTTTCACGCTCCGACTGCTAATTGCCGCTGCGGCTGTACCAAAGCTAAAGTGTCTCGGGTTTCGCGTTCTCGGTTGTCTCTCATATTTTCAATGAACATAACAACGCAGCACCACTTTGGGAGTAGCAAAGTAATTTAACGTGGTTTTTCACGCTTGTGGCAAGCTGTGTTACTCCTATACTCCTATGAGAGGTGCGTTATAAAGTCTGCTGCTGGTCCCGTCACGTCCTCATATCTTCCCCTTATGTCTTCCCTCGAACAGGTACAACTACTACCCAGTACCAATGATGGCTCTGAAGACGACCTCAATCATGAAGGTCCCACCTTGAATGCCAGCCCATCCTTCGAATATCGAGCAGATCTCGATAAGGTCCAGCGGAAGCTGGGCAAACAGCATATACAGATGTATGTATGATTTTGATTTCGCGCATTATATCCATTCTCACACTTTTTTGCAGGATTGCAGTAAGCTCTTGGAGTGTATAGATTACTATTCAAGATATTGAAGTATTTTCAGTTTGCAGGTTCAATCGGTACAGGGCTTTTTTTGGGCCTTGGACAGATATTGTCTATCACTGGTCCGCTCGGTGCTCTGTTGGTCTATCTACTTGTGGCCACTGTTGTTTACTCGTAAGAAAATATCAATGGTATTTTTTGATGGTTGTTCTAACATGTTTTGCAGGACTTTGGTTTCAGTTGGGGAGCTCACCTCTTTTGCTCCTGTCTCTGGGACGCTCATACTTTACGGTATGTCGTACTCGGGATGCTTTGCTTCCTCTCATATCTGACGACGGTACCAGCTGCTCGATGGGGTGAACCAGCGCTAGGTTTTGCTGTAAGTTGCACCTAATTAATTCTAATATTGAATCTCTGTCTAACTCAGCATGCTCTACTTTAGCTTGGATGGGTACGCATTTCAATATTATTTTGATGGACGCTGACATGTTTATGTGAATGTGTAGAACTATTTCTATGTATGTTCAGGACTTGTTCTGTCAAATCGTTAAACTCATCCCCCGCAGTATTCAGGTATTGCGGTACCCGTCGAAATAACGTCTTTATCCGTGGTTATCACCTTTTGGGATACAAACGTATGTGACACTTGTTATATCTGCATAGTCATACTGATATTTTTATTATTGTTATTTACCAGCCAGACCATACGGCAATCTACATCAGTGTAACAATCATCCTGCTCGTTTTTCTCAATATTTGGGGTCTTCGGTGTGTTTCTTTCCATCACTTCTTTCCCTTATACCTTCCTAAAACTTTTTTATCTTAGCATTTTTGGAAATTGTAAGTTCTGTTTTGCGTCTCCGTCTGTCAGATTTTGACTTGTGGATAGCGGAAATTGTCTTTTCAACACTGAAAAGTATGTTCATAGCTACTATCTGGCAGCTGATTTCTAATGCAATTAAATGTCCTCTAGTTATGCTTGCCGTCGGACTGGTAAATTTACCGTTGAATTTTTTGTAAATTGATCTCACATAAGTGTAGATTATCGGAGGTTTGGTTATATCGCTGGGCGGAGGACCAGATCATAAGCGGTAGGTTTTTTGCTCATCCTGAAATCGTCAAAGCTTACATTGCTTTTCAGAACCGGTTTCGAGGTATGTCTAGGACAATCGAACTGCAACGTTCTTTCCTTATGAAATATTCTAGTATTGGCGCAATCCAGGCCCAATGGTGTCATGTGAGTAAATATGATAACATGTCCGCATAAAACCCGGCGAGCTTATGTGTGGACATAGATTTGAAACCTGGGGCGCTCGGACGATTCGTCGGTTTACTTTCTGCCGTAGTACCTGCAGCATTCTCCATGAGTGGGGCTGAGTTGATCGCCATGTACGTTTCCTGTCTACAAGCTTAGGAAATAACACTCACTATGACACAGTTCTGCTGCAGAAGCAATGAACCCGAGGCAAAATATTGTCGGAGCGATGCGGACAGTCATTTTCCGTATTCTTTTCTTCTTTGTATGGCATACTTTTTTTGGTTGGCATACAGCTTAACTCACAAGCATATAGATTGGTTCGGTTTTGGTAGTTGGCATGCTTGTTCCCTCTAATGACCCTTCCCTCTTCACGTGCGTAACCCAATGCTCTTTATGATCAGGTAACTCATCAATTTTATGCGCTAATAGGAGATCCGGGACTGCAGGACAGTCCCCATTTGTACTCGCGTTCACTCGTGCGGGTGTTAAAGGTCAAATTTATCCATCGTTTATGTTTTCATAGCTAAATATCAATATCTAGTCCTTCCGTCTATCATCAACGCCGTGCTAGTGACAAGTTCCTTCAGTGCCGCTAATACAGTGTATGATGCCATTCGTTTATTTCGATCTCCTTACTGATAGCGCAACGAATAGCATCTTCGCTGGCTCTCGTATATTATATGGTTTAGCACTTCAGAAGCAAGCACCACAGTTTCTCGCGCGTTGTACTTCGTCAGGAGTACCATTCGTCGCGGTCATAGTTGCAGTAAGCACAAGACTTGTCTTACTCTCGTTTGTAGCAGCTGAATAGTAATAAACTATCTACAGAGCTCCTTCTCGCTGCTGTCTTACCTCAACGTGACAGAAGGATCTGGAAACGTCTTCAAGTATGTCTAATGCTTTCTATAAAAACTTGTAATATTTGACCTATCTTTCAATGTACAGTTGGTTGGCTAACTTGGCTACTACCGGTGGGCTATTTGGGTAATGCTCTGCGTTTCCTTTTCTTTGTATCCCTGCTAACGACTGTCACTTAGTTGGATGACCATCAACTTGACGTACCTCCGATATTGTGAGTTTATTATCTGCCGTTTTTACCATTTTTGTTGCTCATTCATTATCTTACTCGAAGACTACGGCCTCAAGCACCAAGGAATAGTCAATGAGGGTATATTTCGGTCTTCCCTGCAACCTTTCGCTGCAATGTGGGGATTGTTTTGGTAAGACTCAGACGCATGTTTGAGCATTTCAAGGCTTACAAAACGCATCTTCAGGGTCATATTTTTCATCTTGATCAGTGGCATTACGGTGTTTTTCAATTTCAGTGCTTCAGAATTCGTTTCTGCTTGTGAGTAATCAGTGGTGTAACGCTTTTCTTTTCGACTGAGCCTCACTGATCAAATTTCTTATAGACATCAGTATACCGCTCTTCTTTTGCTTCTATTTCGGCTACAAGATTTACTACAAAACAAAAATTGTATGTGTTTTGTTGATGTATATTGCTGGCTTTTTCTGACGAGACATTCAACGATAGCCTGCCCTCCGCGATCTGGACTTTGTTTCGGTAAGCCTTCCTTATGAGCTGTTGCTCTACAGAGTTGTTCTCACAGCCTGACATCATTTCACAGAACATACCAACACTCGAGGAAACAGGAGACGAAATACTAAGAACGCAGAAAAAGTCAATGATGACCGAAATTCGGCAAATGATTTAACGATTTACTATCATCAATGTTTGGCGCACGGACTCGACACGACCCCTCTCCCTGAGGAAAAACTTTACGCTTACGCATTCCACTCTCTTGTTTCTTGCTGTGAATATTTTATCTCGCATGGACAACCTCTAATACAATACATAGCTGCCGTCATGATCTGCATTGTATGATACTAATAGTACACATTATTTATATACAAGAAACTGGAATCTTCCTGTTTTCATTGTTACTCAATCATGCGGATCCATTTATTGGTCTGGCACCAACTGTGTTCGCAAACTTGAAACTATTAAATTATACCATCGCTCTCCGGGACAGACCTGGACCCGACCGTCACCTCACATGCCTTTTAGAACTGTTTCAAGTAGTTTCTATGTAGCATATTGCAGTATCACGAAGCGTACAGTTAAATCCGTGAAAAATCCAGCATCAATGTCGAAATGGCCCAATGGAGGAATATTTAGAAGACAGCAGGCGTGAGAACATGATTATAAATTGCAAGCCATCATTCCCAGTACGAGAGTGCTCCAACAAGCTCGATAATCGTTAAGTCCTGAACATGTCGGGTGGTGCGGCAGTCAAACAGTCACCTGCGAAATCAAAACCTCCAAAGGAGAAGAAAGGGCAAGTGGGATCAAGTGGGACTGAACGTCTGAAGACTGTAATACGACGATTACCCCCCAATCTACCAGAGGACGTATTCTGGCAAAGTGTGCAAAGCTGGGTTACAGATGATACTACGCTTTGGAAGATGTTCTATCCTGGAAAGGTTGGAAAACGGTATGTTCATGATCTCAATAGCCGGAGCTCAGATTCGAACTATCATCCAGCATCAATAAGGAAAACATTCCCTCGCGAGCGTACATAGCATTTAGGAATGAGGAACAGTTGGCTATATTCAGCCGCGAATACGATGGACATCTATTCAGAGATAAAGCTGGTTTGTCTCGCCAACTTTCCCTTCACAGCGTGATTGAGATGTATCTACCAGGTAACGAATCACAGGCAGTAGTCGAGTTTGCTCCATATCAGAAGATACCAACTGAGAAGAAGAAAGCAGACGCCAGGAATGCAACTATTGAAAAAGGTATATGACTTGTTACACAACGATTGGTAGTTGTCACTAACTGTACTTAGACGAAGACTATTTATCTTTCGTAGAATCGCTGAATGCGGCGAACAAAGCCGAACCTGTGTCCTTAGAAGCTCTGAGTAAGTGTAAACATTCAATTTTTCATAACGAGTTATCTGATCAGAAGGCATACAGTTGCGGCCGCACAGCCTCCTCCTCCACCTACCACCACGCCGTTACTTGAAGCTCTGAAAGCGGAGAAATCGGCGCAAAAAGACAAGGAAGCTATTCTGCGACACCACGCACATTATAAAGATGGCGCGGTCGCTCTCACCCCTGCTATTGCGAAAAAGGACGACTCGAAGAAGAAACCTGCGCCTACACCCAAACAACCAGAAACACCACAACTCAGTAAGAAGGCCGCAAAGAAAGCTGCTGCTCAAAAGAATGCACAAGCAGCACAAAGTGCTGCTGCTTCTTCCGCGTCGTCTACTGTAAAACAAATAGTTCCCGCTCCTGCTACCAAGCCTTCACGTCCTCCTCGCGATCCATCAGGCCGTCAACAGCAAGCCAAAACATCCTTACCACCTGCTGTGTTGCCAGCAGTGCAAACTAACATCCAAGTTACTGGTGCTGTTGATGCTGCGGAAGCCAATTCGCTAACGCCTACACCCCGCCGAGGCCGTCCGGTCATTGGATTAGGCCGCCAGTTCGAAGCAGCATTGAGTGGAGCTGGTGTTGGGGTCGGAGAGCAGCGTAAACGTCGCGAGAAAGCTAAAGAACCGGAGGGCAAACTGCTCCCTTCTAACAGTGCCGGTACTCCACAGAAAGCCAAAGAAAGTGGAGGGACACGAAAAGATGGGAAAGTTCCATTGAATAACGTGGTGGCTCCTGTAGCCATTATGCAAGCGCCTAGCATACTGCAACGGAATGATGGCTCCATGCCCCAAGGTCCGATGATATTGCAACGCCCTCAGTCGCCGCGTGCGGCACCACGACCCGCTGATAGTGCAGGTGTCGCAGAGATACCTCACAATCACGCTTCAGATGTTGGCACTGGAAGAGGTGCGATGAGGAGGGGGAGAGGCGGGAAAGGAAGGGGTGGAGCCCACCGCGGTGGCTAAAATCCACATAAGATTCATTCGTTTCCAGGATCCAAGCATAACAATCCGGACCAAGTCTCGAGTCTCTTCAAGGCTTAATGACCTCACATCCATCTGGAACGTGGAAAACAGTGTCACATCCAGCTCTGTTCAAAATGATTCACATTGCTTGCTGGCATTGATTTATGCATACAATTACAGTGTTGCACCGCCTTTCTTCGCGGTCGTTTAGTCGCTATACTCCCTAGTTTTCCTGTGTCATTATCAGGTCATGAAGACGTATCTCAGGTCGTTATCCCAAACTTCAGCAGAATCGTCTTGCTCGTTCTCTTCTTTTCCTAACGATTCCAACTCTTTGCGTCTCTTCTTGTTCATATATGATAGTCGCGTACGCAGAATAAATGCAGCTAAAAATGATGCAAAGAGACATCTGATAGTGTCAACATCAGGTATGTGGAATATTGTTGATGAAAAGATCAGTATATCACGCACCCAGCTGAGATAGCATGGCCTTTACGATAGTCATCGTTGACATCGAAATATATCTGAGGTGATGCACTACGACGACAGTTACTCCGGTAATTCAGTAGCAAGATTGTTGATGCTTACATAGATACGCAGTTGGAGATTGAGACGATGAAAGCTGTACCAACACCCCGCTTGGAAGTTGGCGAGAATACGTTAGCAGCCCAACTCCTGTGAATTCTGGTGTTAAAGCTGTCCAGTGGTCAACAGATGTGGCGAAACCTACATAACCAAAGGGAATAGGCTGAAATTGCCTCCAGTAACAAGAAAAAGTGCGAAATATGCGGCACCCACACTCTTCTGGACACACGTTGCCAAAATAACATACCCTATGAATGATATCAAGGTAGAGAGCATGACGTGATAGCCTCTATCGTGAGTGTGATCACTGTGCCATGCTTGTCCGACGACCATGAACCAACCAACAGCATATGGAGCCACAGTCAAACCCTGAGCGTTGATTGCGGAAAACCCAAGGTTGTTTATTAGCTATTGGCAATACGTTGAAAGAAAACATATGTTAGATGATTGTGAAGGTCGTGGTTGTTCACTTACCGTGGGCAAAAAGTAGGTCATAGTGGCTACTCCAACATTAACTACAGGACAGGAATCAGACATATCATATCGAGAAACTTCCAGCTCTCAACTCACATGTTGCATAGATCAGCACAAAAAGCCAGGCGTTGACATCACATAGTATAGCTTTGAAACCCTGCCAGCCGGTCATTCCTCCATGAGATTGAGGCTTGTGATCTCTGCTTAACCGCGCTTGAGAAATAGCACGCTCTCGTGGGCTGAGGAATGAAGCAGTGAAAGGATATGAAGGCAGAAAGAAGAGCACCACCACGGCCATCGCGATGGTTGGTACTGCTTCTATCTATCGAGGATATTCAGCTATGGCATCTCTCTAAAACAATTCCAGACGTACGAGAAATAAAAACTGCCAGCTACAAAAAACAAGGGTTATCGACTTACCAAGGCAGGAGAAGACGAACACGCACCCAGTAAGTAAAGATGTGCGAGCTCGAACAAGGCCAAATGCCAGCAGACCCTTTGCGTATGTAAACCCAACCATGCCATGATTTATTACACAAAGAACGAACACTGATAGCCCCAGGAAAGGTTCCTGTCATGCAGAGACTACGATGATGATAGTAAGATGAGCTGTACACACCCTTAGACACAAACTTCTCCACTGACCTGATACGCATGGCTAATTCATGTCTAAAACTACGATGAGCAGGAAGACGTTCTGAACGAAATGAACCAACCTTTTGTACCTTTTACCGTGAAACGACCTGGGTTCAACCGATAATCCACAGGTCTGAAATATAATGACTGACCAGAATGACAGATAATAAATCATGCCGGCATAATATCCTGCTTCGCCAATGCCCATCAGCACACTGTACAGACACATTGGATCACTGCCTCATGAAATTGGTTACATGAATCATAATGCTCACCGAAGAACAAGTAATGATGCATATCCCTTGGCATAGACCACAGAGAGCGAAGAAACCCCCCAGAAAGTCAACGCGAGAAAAAAGCTGTACGACAACGTCAGATTAAGACCCTCATTGGAGATAATCACTTTTACAATCGATTGGCACCAATACGTCTCTGAAGGACTGTAAGAACAATATTCAGTGAAAATGCGCTCAGTTGACAGAGGGAACTAAGAGCCACCCACTGTTTGCGGGAATTTCTAGAAGACCTTGGGACACAAAACATCAGCTGACGGTGCGGAAAGTAAAGCCACCAATCTTACAATATCCCACATAGAAGATACTCAGAACAACCGTCCATTTGTTGTTATCCGAGATACCCTTGTATTCAACAAAACCATGAGTACCATGAATGTCTGTGTCTTCACTGAGGTATTACGCCACTTACAAAGTTCTCATTGAACGCATCAATAACATGTGCATTCCCGCTGAGTCAATAGTGAGGATGACTATATCCAGAAAATGGACAGTGACTAGCCCTTACATGTTAGTTCTGTCTAAATCCAAGGCGTAATGCTTTCAGTATCTTTGCCAGAGGGGAAACGCAGTGCTCGAAATTACCAAACTGGTTGACTGGATAATAGAATAAATTTGGCAATATTCAGAATACGACAAGTAGTTGATTTTGAACTTACAAATGTAGCTGTCATACCGCAATGACACAAGATAAGTTGCAGAAGTATGAGACCTAAGAATATGAGAAACTTGCCTACATATCACAAGGGTGAGGACTCGGTTGTCTATTTTTCGCTTGACAGCTCGCTGTTCATGCAAGCTGTAAACAATGCCCTAAGATAAACTTATACAACATTACTGACTTCCTCCTTCGTGGTGTATTCAACACATTCCGCATCTTTATGTACTGCACTGGCCAAGGAAGAATCTAACGGTGAGAATAGCTGCCTTAAACGACCCTTGTAAGAGATGCCGAGCCTCCTAGCCTGTTCCTGGTGCCAAGTGCCATCTGTTTCAGCACCGTCCATCGGTCCTCCTTGCATCTGCCCGTCGTCGTCCTTTATAATATCTTCCATGGTGAATGAACAGATAAAGAATGCACGATCAACGTGTAGGGTCAGTTATCTACCAGTGGAGTTAATGAGGCTGAAAATGAACAGAGGGAGTGTATATCGAGGGATATCTAAGCGTCCAGGTGACCTCTAATCGCGCATACTCATTGCTAAAGATAGGGCACGTCCCAAACCGAACGTTTCAAACCCGCCTGCCATCGTAGAATCATCAGCGACCCAGCATGTTCATTACACCGGTAGTCCGGCCAAGCGTTACGAAAGGGTCAAAATGAAAAACCTTTGACCAAGGTCTAGGACAACCCAGACTTATAGATATTGTCCGAGTAGCATGTGGGCAATGCTCAAGCTAAAGGTACAACTGACAGATGATCGGCATATACTGTCAACATCGAGCCCATGTATTATCAGTGGTTGAGCTACATAACATCTGCATCACGTCTAGTAGCCAAAAGATAATTCAGAGAGATGTTTTGACAGCCACATTTTGCTAGGTTGTAGATACATATATGCAATATTTTCTAGATATGATACCATGCAGGAAGTCAGCGTGAATAGGATGCATTCATATCATTCATAACAAATAACTCTGATATGCTATTGTAGCATTTCCATGATGTCTTACACATCAGCCATGTTTAGCATAAAAAACATTAAATTTGAGCAAGATACTAAACTACCGAGGGCCTGCAAGGCAAAATGAATGTGTCAAACAAGTAAAACAATGAATGCAAAACAAAAACAAGCACAAGGAAGTGACTACCAAAGCAGCGATGATCACCATATCAATTCACCTTAGGCAGAACTTTGAGGAGGCTCTCAGGGTCTTTCAGTGGGGGTTTTTATGTCGTGAGAAGTAGGTCTCAGAGACCCACCATCCCTCCAGCCTCTGTAGCCCCAGTAGCAATTGGATTACTATATGTGGCATATAGCCAATATCACTGCTGAGAGCCTCTTCAGAGGTTTAATCTATGAATTTCTATAATATTGACACTCCTTGTGCACTCCCTGAAAGCCTCTTTTGTACTATTTGTATGCTCGTACACTCTTTGAGAGCCTCTGTGGGAGCCTCCCCATCAATATATCAAAGGAATGTTCCAGAAGAATGTCCCAAATATGGATATAAATCATCCCTTTACGGTAAACTTCTGTGCTATCATAACCTCACTGTGAGCCTCTCCATCACTACGTCAAAGAAGAGTCTCCCAAATAAGGATATGTACTGTCTGTTTATGGTAAGTTTCCGCACTACCAACCAAAACATATCTGCTTTTGGATATGCTGATATACAGTGACTCCAAAAACTGTTGCAATGTTTGGCCTAAATGTGGTGTATGAAGCACACTGCCAACAGGCGTGGAAATTATGCTTAGCTTTGTTGGGGTTGACAAAAATACTTGGTCTTGGCTACAAAATGGTTTCTGGGTTTTGTGATTTGGCCCAGCGGCTGTGAAGATATGTCCATTTCAAAACAGCAATACCATTGCAACAGTTTTTTCACTTTTGAGTTGGAAGCAGAGATCATAATGATATCATAGAATATTTGGCTTTGTTTGGTCCTCCATGGCAAGTCTGGGACCACACAATTGAACTTCTACCAGAGGCCAAAAGTCTAGACTGCAAAATGTATCCGCTTAATTGAGATGAACAAGTCCATCAGAGTATCAAATCCCCCTATGCTTCCCCGTTCTTCTTTATCAAGAAAAAAGACAGATCCCTTGGACCAGTACAAGACTATCAGAAACTCAACACCCTTACAATCAAAAATTGATACACATTACCCCTTATTTCCGAATTGATAAATCGACTCAAAGGTGCTAAATACTTCACCAAGTTAGATGTCCGCTGGGGATATAATAATGTTCAAATAAAAGAAGGGAATGAACATAAAGCCACCTTCAGAACTAACAGAGGATTGTTCGAACCGCTAGTTATGTTCTTCGGACTTACAAATTCCCCAGCCACATTTCAAACAATGATAGATCAACTCCTCCGAGACCTGATCAACAAAGGATCTGTCATCGTACACCTTGATGATATTATGATATTCACCAATTTAATGGAAGAACATAGGAAGATTGTATCTAAAGTTCTTCAGATCCTTGCAGACAACCAACTATATCTCAAACCTGAGAAATGCAAGTTTGAGAAGAAATAAGTCAAATATCTAGGAATGATTATCTCTCACAACACAATTTGTATGGACCCTCTCAAAGTACAAGCAGTCACAGAATGGCCAATACCATGCACCAAGAAAGAGTTACAGTCATTCTCAGGATTTTTAAACTTCTACAGATGATTCATCCGAGACTATGGAAAAATCACAAAACCCCTGATGATCCTCACTGGCAAAGTGGATTAGGAATGGGCTGATGACCAGCAACAAGTGTTTGACATTCTCAAGAAAACAATCACAACCTTGCTGACACTCGCAATCCCAAACAACAAAGATCCATTCAAGGTAGAGTGCAATGCTTCCAACTATGCCACAGGAGCGGTATTATCACAGCAGCAAGAAGGAAAATGGAGACCGGTGGTGTTCTTATCAAAATTAATAAACCTTGCAGAGAGAAATTATGCTATCTGGGATAAAGAAATATTAGTGGTAATGCATGCATTAGAAGAATGGCGACATTTCCTTATGGGAGCTTAACACCAATTCACCATCTTCACTGACCATCAGAACCTCACCTACTTCCGAGACCCCCAGAAAGTAAACAGACAACAGGCTAGGTAGATGAACACACTAGCCAGATACAATTTCAAACTAGAGCATGTAAAGGTTCAGCAAATACAAAAGCAGACCTACTTAGTCAAAAAGTAGACCATCCAAGAGGCAAGAAAGATAACAAAGGACAGGTCCTTTTACCTCAACTCGTGGAAGCAAATATCTACACCATGGATGATGTGTTAGAAGAACACTGTCTGGATGAGCTGCTAGCTTTGTGGCATAAGTTGGATGATTATGTTGTACAAAAGTTGAAAGATAATCCAAAGGTTTGGAAGAAACACAATGGAATCATCTGGATAGGAAATGAGAAAGAAGATGAATTAACACTAGGAACATTCAAAAATAACATCTACATACCGAAAGACCTGAAGTTAAGGGCACATATTACCGAAGAAGAACACAACACCAGCCTTAGTAGACATCCAGGCAAGAGAAAGACATACAAGGGAGTGAACTGATCCTTCTGGTGCCCTAGTCTCAGAAGAGATGTCAGGTGGTATGTTGCAGGATGCAAGATATGCCAGAGAACAAAGTCACATTGTCAAAAGCTGCATGCTCCCCTCCATCCAAATCTAATCCCTGATTGTCCCTGGCAGATAATCACAACAGATTTGATTGGAGCATTGCCTGAGTCAAATGGATACAATGCAATCCAAGTTTTTGTTGACAGGCTCCTCAAAAATGGTTCACTCCATACCCATGCATGTCACACTCGACTCGCTGTTGATGATGAGAACTGTTGTTAGAAAACCACACACAAAAAACAAACTAACACACAATCCTCCCAGAATCCACGGAACTTGTTTATGGGCTTTGCCTCCTAGAACAGTGGAGTGGTCTGGTTGTTCGTGGGGTGGTACATATGATGATCCTTCAAAGTAAAACCCAGAGATGTATGGGTGTGGGTTTTGAGGAGGAGGGATAGTTGAACTATAGAAAATAGGGGCTTGATGACAAGTATAGACGGGCACTACCTTGCTAATTGTAGCACAAGGTAGGTTTGAGAACAACGAGATAACAAGGTGATGAGGTTCCCAGTGATAGCAGGCTCCTGATGCACAAACTGTAGTGCTCAGAAGGACTCTAATCAAAAGGGATGACAATGACTTTCAAAAGTGACGAGTGATGATGACAGCAGTTAACAGTGGTAGCAGTGGGAAGTGTTGTGACCACACTGGATCACAAGTAGCAGAGTAGTGAACTTGAGATTAGAGAAGAAGTTTGGATTGGAGTTCTTGTTATTTTTTTACAAGGTAAAATACAGGGGTTTATATAGCAAAAGAAAGGTAGGCTATGCACAGTCTAGCTGTGCAAAAAGAATGAGAAAGAACATGAAGGAAGGAATGTACACTGAGGAATCCTGCGTAGGTAGTACAGGATAAGATCGTCAAAATAAGGAAAAGAAAGGGATAGAACAATAAATGCTGTGTAAGTAATGTCACAGGTTTGTACAGCTATAAAATAAAGTCCAATAACAGAATGCCATGCGTAGGCATGGAAGGGTACTTAAGCTTGTCATCACAAGAGCAAAGGTCAAATACTCAAAACTTGTAACCAGTGAGAGCAAGAAAATCATGAAGTCATGGGAAGATGCAGTAAAAAAGGGTAAAACAAAACAATATCAGTATCAACACAGTTTCTTTATTGTCAGTCAGGCATTCTGAAAAAATGTGTCCATCAAAATGATTCAAAAATCAAAAATAATTGCACTGTAAATGAATATTCTACTGAAAAAAAAGAAACTGGAGCCACCGGTCCACCACCTAGTCCAAATCTGACAGTTCCATGGCCTTACCAATGGACTGGTTATATTGGACCACCTGGTCAAATGAGGGAGGGAGGGGAGTAGTTCCAATTTGGAACAAGTGAGTCTCAGGCAGCGTGTGGTAGCTGTAGCTGTAGCGAAGACAATGGACGAAAGATAAATGTACCCAAGTGAAGGGGACGGCAATTAACATAGGCAACGCAAGGGGATGAACCTTCTCCAGCTCAAAAACTACCCACCTATGCTCCAACCAGGCGAAATGAGCGACCAATGATTTGATAGTATATGGTGGAAGATCAATGTCATGAAGATGGACTTGTTGCCCAATTTGGACTGGCTGCCGGGGCTTTGCTGATATCAGCAGTGGCACGTGGTGGTCAACAGATTGGCAACAGAAGCGGATAGAGAGTGGTGACATCAGGTATGGTGGGGGAGCAAGGAAGACGAGCAGGAGGAGGGTGGAGGTGACGAGGAAGTGAACTAGAATGGGGATCCAGAAGCGACTGTCAG